TAAATAGTAAATAACGAAACTCAAACAAGCATTTTAAGTTTTTTACAGTCAAAATTTGGACTTGTTTTGGTTTTGTTTTGTTTTTTTACCATGTTTGTTGTGCTTTGAGTTTTACAGTTCTTTTGAGTACCCTATAACAATGGAAAATCCAAAGTGAAGAAAATGGAGTCCCAATTCTACTTATGTGCAATTATTCAATGTAACTAGTCATATCAAGAATATATTTATTATTTTTGAAAAAATAATAGTTTTATTTACCTTCCTATCGCATTAAAACCCTTTTTGCACAAGTATATATATAAAGGTGAGTAATAAAACCAGGGACTAGGATTGAATCATCAAGTTGAAATAGCTCTTAGCTTACTTATTTAAATCTTAACCTATTTTGATATTAGAATATAGTATTACCCTAGATGGGTTTAACTATACTGCTTACTTGGGGAAACCCTAATGGGGTTTCAATATTTCAAAGATTTAATTCCTAGAAAAACACTTTCGAAAATTAAATACTTAAATGATAAACTCTTTTTGGGAGAAATTTATTTTTATTAGCACTCTAGATTGATCTTTATAAAGATCAATCTAGAGTGCTTTGAACTATCTTATTTTCTTGTAATGGATTCACTCAATGCCTGAAAAACGGAACTTAGAAAGTTGTTATTCAGCTATTCCCAGCAGTCTAAACTTGTCAAAATTCGTTTTTCTAAAATAGTTCAAAGCACTCTAGATTGATCTTTATTATGATGCATTTTCTGATGACGAAACGTCAAAAGGTCAATTTGAGGATGCTGTCTGACTCAGATTTTTCTCAGGATTCCAAATATGCAAAAATATATACGGTATATCCACCTCCCCCCCATAGGTGACCACCCGTAGTAAATGCCAAGACACCCTCCCCTCCCCCTCTAGTTTTCAAGTAGTAATTAATAAATTTGGTGTTAAATCATTTTTTCTTACTACCTCGACTCAAAATACGTTGTTTCGTCCCCGATTCCACGGCAGAAAGTTTACGTTTCTTGCATTGGTCAAGCTATACGCGCACACTCTAATAGCGGGAGTAAAAATTTTTTAGTCGTGTGCTTAACATTCAAATTTTGTACTGCCAACATGAGAAACACAGTTTTAAACCATAATTTGCAATTATAACAACAAATAAACAATTTATGTTTTTACTTTTGATGTTGTTTTAAGTGTTTTATTTGTTATAAAGTAGTAATTTGTTAATTAAAATACAACCTTTTATTTTTACTGTATTGGCACCGCTGAATTCACGGCCTACTGTTATTTATTTATCAAGCTCTTCAAATGGAGATACGTACATAAATACACATTTAATTTTTTCCCGTATTTTCGGCCGGGTTGTATTTTCGGCCGAGGTAGTAAGAAAAATAGTATACACTACACGGGCAGAAAGTGTGAGAGTCCTGAACTGCGCGCCATGATGCACTCGGCTTCGCCTCGGGCATCATGGCGCGCAGTGCAGGAATCTCACACTTTCTGCCCTTGTAGTGTAATATACTATTTTGCACAGAAAGTTAAAAAAAATTAATTTGGCTCATATTTGTCTTTATTCATATGGCGCCTGCTGCGTGGCCTATAATTACAAGTGAAAAAAATATTATTAAGAAGAAAAACTTAAAAAACGTATGTATATATAAATAAATAATATATAAAAACTTAAAAAACGTATATATAAATAAATAATATAAGAAAAAGCGCGAGAGGATATTAATAGTCAATTGACTACGTGACAAAAACCTAACCCCCCCGTCCCTGTGACCAAGCGTGGTATTTTGAAGAGCCCCCTCCCCCCCTGAACGGGTCACGAAGTATGGGTACGTTCCCTAGCTGTTTACATCAAACATGTGCAGCATAGAAAAAGGATATGTGCAGGTCACAAAAGTGGTGCAGGTTTATCCAATTCCAAAATGGTTTACTTACCTCTATTTCGTTGGAATTTTTGTATCCAATAATTTTTTTATAAAATTTATATTTCATCGTTTATAAATGCTCGAGCATTTATGAGCTCTTATGAGCATTTATGAGCGCTTTGCAAAGAAATAACGGACAATATATTTAACCAATACAAAAAAAAAATGATTTTTCGCCTTTACCACGGCGTTCTCTAGAGACACACAACGAAAAACGTACGTAATATTAATAAAAAAAAACATTAACGCAATGATTTTTTACATTAATTTTGCTCCGATGCTCAAAATCATTACCACAATGCTTTTAAAGTATTACTCAATGTACAAGGACGTAATATTAATGCTTGGCGGACATTGATTTTAATCAGATCTCAAATAAAAGTACTGATATTAATGACCATTGACATGGATTAATGTCCTAGTACATTAATTCTATGCCCAGTAAACATCAACCAATTAATAAATTTTTAATCAATTAACAATTAAAGAACATTATCCCAATAACCTAATATACATTAATTAATGATCTGTTAGCATTATCATAATGCAAAGAAGCATTAATAGTAGGCCTGAAATAAGGTCAGCAGAAAAGGGGTGGATAGAGGATGAAATTTTAAGTCGATTGAAAAACGGCAAAGACCATTCGACTTAGAATCCCATCCTCTATCCACCCCTTTTCTGCTGTCCTTAACTTTTGAGATACCCTGTATATATGTATATATATATATATATATATAAATTATTACACTTACCTTAAGTTTTAACATTAAATCAATTTTTTTGTTGATCAGTTAACAAAAAATATATTAATAATTATTACTATTAATATTACTTATGTGGTGATGTTCAAAGATAATAATATATTATCTTTGGTGATGTTCTCTTTAGCCAGTTCCCTTTACAGAAGTTCCCAAACATTTTCTACAGGGTTTATGTCCGGGCCACCGCAAAACTGGAACTGGAACTACATATTTCTAGTCCTTTTTGTAAATATTATGAAACTAAGGATTAATATAAAAAAAAATAATAAAAACCCTTGGTAATTTAAAATCCTTATTTTTATTACAAAAAATTTATGAAACATAAATAAACCTTAACTTTTTAACATTGTCTTACTTACATTCTAAAAAGTCACATGGATTTTGGAAAATGTATTAGAATGCTTCATTTAAAAAAAAGTAGGTTTCAATATATGTATGACCAGACCATGACACATTCTTCTGGGAAATAAAGGTTAAAAATACTTGCACTTTTTTATATTTCATATAATAATAAACCTAAACGCACAACAATCGGGATGGGCGGGCAAGCACGTCGCAACAGGATTAACAGGAATACTAAACTGTTGTTAAATTGTTTTCTTACTTGCACTTTTAGGTGGTGGGAAACAACAGGGCCTAATATTAATGTATTTAGACATTGGCTAAACGTATTTGGCGATAGAGTTATGATTTGTTGTATTATTTAATATGTTAGAGCATTATATTCATGCTAAGGTACATAAGTTGATGTCTACATAGTCATTAATGTAATAATTTTAGATTATTAAAGTATACCATTTAGAGTATTAATCTATTAAGCCTTGACATTAATTTTATCACTGAGCAATGATTAACTAATGTACTCTAGGTTATTGATTTAATGTAAATAATCATCGTATTAATGTAAAATATCATTGTCTTAATGTATTTTGGCTAAAAAATAATAAAATTCCTGCACTAGGATAATGACCTGGCAGACATTGTGACAATCCAATAATACATTAACTCATATTTTTTAAGCATTATCATAATTACTTGATTGCATTAATACTATGAAAAGGACATTATCGTAATGATTTTGCACTTAATGATCGTAGGACATTAATATCAGGTACGATATTTTTTTCTGTGGAACGCCGTGCCTTTACCCTTTACCAGGCACTGATTCTAGTTCAGGTTCAGACTTAAGTTCGTATGTCTTGATCTTCATTAAAAAGCTCATCTTCGTTTTTATCCCAAGTTTCTTTTTTACATCCATTTTGTCATAATTCATTGATTTATCGTTAAATCCACTTACCAGTATTTCTTCTTTGATTTCTGTTTTTAATACAACTCGAGAAGTTCTTCTTCTTCTTAATTCTGAACACAATTCTGTGTTCCGAGGAATGACCTTTAGCGTAATTTAAAAGCTATTTGGCCAGCACATTATATTATTAAAATTTTCTTTATTATGATCAATGGTCTTATTTAAAAGAATCTGAGATTAACTCATCCCTTGCATCATTTATATATTCTTAGTTATTTATCAATTTTTATAGAACCATGTCATCTTTTCGCTTTACTGTGTACACATGGCTTCATACACAGAATTTTCCAATTGCCTTTAATCTTCAATCATCGGATCCATCTCTTAGTTATTTTCATATATGTTTACAAATTCTTGATTAATACCAGTTTGTTTTTACCCTGGGAGTCCGATTTTGCCTCTCCTGGGTCGAGAAGTCACTTATTTTTCATATACTCTTTCATAGAGCTACCGACGACACGAGACCCAAAACCGAACTCAACTCGAGAAGTTGAAGGTGTGTGGTCTGCTTTACTAAAGCCTTCAGAGGTTGTTTGTCAAGCCTTTAGAGGTTATTTTTGTCAAACAAAAGCCTTTAGCGGTTATGTTTGTCAAACAAACTTTGTTTCTACTTTCATTAAATTTAAGCTATCTGGATCTTCTGGTCCTATTTTTACCCCCACAGCTGCCATTTTTGATAAATAATAATTTAAACACTTAAATACAACTATTAAAAACTATGGCGTTTATATGTCAAAATTGGCATAGATTTGGTTAATGCATATAGATGTTGCCTCTGTAATGAAGACTTCACTGAAGAGTTCCATATAATAGACAGGTTCCATATTACCATCTTCCCTCTGTTTTTGTTGTTTTATAGATGGCACTATGGTCAAAAATTGCGCCTGGTTTTCTCATTAATCTTTATCGCGGTTTTCTATGATCCAGGGTTGGCTTTTATTACATTTGCATGAAAAAATACTGCTTTCGTGAAGAAAAATTCAATTTAAATAAAAAACAAAATCTTTGGCATTTACTTATATTTAAAGATTTAAAATAAATAACAGATCAATATTGTCGTATCAGACTCTTCATTTGACTTTGGTATATAATGGCTGATTATATATACAAAATCTCACATTTCAACAATTTTTCATTGTACCATTGTACCAACAATCACAGAATAAATTTTTATAATATCACACAAAAATTGTGCATACATTTTGTGTGAAAATATAAAATAACAATCGTATATAAAAATAGGAATCTTTAAATAAAATGATAATGGTAACTTTGAATACTGAAAAGTATGATTAGATACTAAAAAATATTAAACAAATGTATATAGAAGCTGTCTATCATAAAAGTGATATACACTATTTATGTGTTTTAAAACTTTCCCCTCCACCAAATGGCGCGCGTAGTGTACAGCTTGGACTCTATCCCTAGCCAAACCAACCTCTATCAACCAATCAACCAATTTGTTACCGGTAAACACGTCTTTGTATATTTTTAGTCTCCATCTAAAAAACCATATCTTTATGGTGGAATGTTGTAGAGAATCAATACTCCTTTAAAATGAGGGGTCACATGCCATACTTACCACAAAAATCAACTGACATACTATCTTTTGTTTTTCTATGACAAATCTTTCGTTTCTCAAGTAAAATATGGCTTGTGGGTACTTATTTTAACGGATTTGAACTTTCTTCACTAAAACTTACCTCTTGTCTGCTGCTATAGCCCTTTTGCAACTTTGTAGGTGATGGGTGACAAATTGGTCACATACTTGCTTGGTATCCTGACTTAACTCGTCCCACGTGGGTAGAGTTAAAGTGCTTGCACCATACCATATTTTTCTCCAGAATTTTAATACTGGCAAAACTATTTCTTTGGTATCAAGACCAAAAATAGCGAATATTAGAATACTTTGTCCAAAATTTAACGTAGCGTCTAAGAATGACAGTTCTATGTATATTCCGGACATTTGTTCCATGACTAGGGTCCAAATTGACAAGGATAAACCCTAGAGAAGAAAAAAATAAACCAAATATTTGATTATTTATATTTATTATTATTACATTTGGTGGATATTGGGTATACCGATATCTCAATTATTAGATATGGGACCCACACCAAATTTATATGAGTTTATAATAACATTAAATAAACAAGTTCTGCGCAAGCAGAATTTAAATTGAAGTTTGCGAAAAAAAGATAAATTTTTGCTTGGCGGTACCGGCCCCATGGCGCCCCCAATAAATATTATATAAATTTAATTGGTGCAATTTATTATTTATCATAGTTTATCGACAAATTTTAAATTTCATTTAAAAAATCCAGATTTCAAAAAAATAATAAAAATTTAAAATGAATGAAAATCTGTATGATTTGGAATTTTTAAATAAAATTTGAAATTTGTCGATAAACTATGGTAAATAATAAATTGCACCAATTAAATTTAGATTATATTTATTGGGGGCGCCATGGGGCCGGTACGGCCGACTAAAAAGTTATCTTTTTTCCCAAACTTCAATTTAAATTTTGCTTGCGCAGAACTTTTTTATTTAATATAATTATATATAATAATTGAGATATCGGTATACCGAAAATCCACCAGCCGCCACTGCATACAACCTTTACTTACCACAAACATAGAGCAAAGAAGTAAAATTAACAAGACAGTGTGTCGCAATATTTGCGGCTCGTGTGATTCAGGTTCCTCCTCTATCAACATCAAATCCTCGTCGATTTGTTGTTGATATTGCCTAACTATACCATGACATTGCTCTCTAGTCGGACCTTGGCAACCAAAACGGGATGGGCATAAGCCCTCCCCATTTGGACTAAAAATGAAATTTCCTCTTTTTAGAGGTGTCACATGACATGGTTTTCATAAAAAACCAAAGAAGAACGATTTTTTTTGTTTTTGAGGATTTTTCGTTGGTTTTTAAGTGAAGTATGGATTGTGGTATGCCATTTTACAGGATTTTTTTACAAATAATACATTGAAAAAAATAAAAATCTAAACAAATACAGAGTGTCACCTAAATTAGGTGACCTAATAATTGTCATCCTTTGGGGGGATGATTAGAGATGTAAAAAACGGTTTTTATTTGTTTTTTTTCAAATCCGCTACAATAAAGCATATTTGTCAATAAATAACATCAATCTTAAAAAATGGAGTAATTTTTCAAAATGAAATTTTGTGAAAAATGTAGGTATATTAATAATAAAGTGAAATGTAGAATATATTACATTTTTCATTATTGAACATTTTGATCGAGACTAAAAAATCTGTTTTCTTATTATTTGGTAGTTTCCATATAAGAAACCAATAGCAATGTAAAACTTCTACCGTTGAGTGAAGAAGTCAATGCTTCTACACTATAGAAAAAATTAAAAGATAAAATTTTTTTTTTGCGATTTTTCGGCTAGCTGTATCTTCGTTAAAAATGGTCGTATTGGAGCCATTAAAAAAGCAATTTGAAGCTTGAAGTTTCTAGTTTTGAGATTTTTATATGAAAAACGTGCAACGCTCAATCCTAACGAATACCGTAATAAAAAAATTCGAAATTTTTTTGGCTTTCTTTTTTGGTCCTACATGAATTTGAAAAAAACATGGAAAAAGTGCTTTTGGTAGCTTTTTGAAAAATCAAGCGCTGAATCAAAAATATTATAGGTAGTTACTTTTTTTAGGACCATATCAATTCGGTGGGGGTGGCGCGTGCATAGCGCGAGACTGTATTTACATTTACTAAATGTTATTTAGTGGCGAATTTTAGTCCATGAACTGGACTGGAAACATAAAAAATTAGGCAAATGGGACTAATCTTGAAAAAAAACCTAAAATATGAAAAAAACCATTTGAAAAAAAAAAACCTGAAAAAAACAAAAAAAACGGACCGTTTTTTCAAGTCGCATCTCTAAAAACAATGATATTATTATTATTCATCCAAGCAAAAAAGAAACAGGTATGCACACAGTATTATGTAATATCAAGCAAACTTTTAAACATATTTAAAATCGGTTAGTAGGTACTTTGTTATCATTGATTACTGACAGTTCGGTTGTTATTGTGGTTTCTTTGGAAGTACATGAGCAGTTTAGTGTACCAGAGCGAAGTTGACACATTAGAACAACTCCGCGAATTATCACTGCAGCGGCAGATGAAATCGGAAATCATCCGGCTATGAAAGCAATAGCGACACATTATAATTTTCTACGCCGCTGTTAACTTTGTGTGGATAATAACGGAGGGATAGATGAACATTTATTATAATAATATTTTTTTATATTTTTTTAAGTGTATATATGATTTTGAGGATCACTTAAAAAAATAAGTACATGAGCATCAATCGACGTAAAAAGTGAAATTTAAAATCGACGGGAAAACCACGGAAACCTCGAGATACCTAACAATAAAAAGTAAGTATTGTTTTATTCAAACTTCAAAGTACCTAAAATTAGCTAAGTATGCAAAACAAAAAACAATTAGTTATCAATAAAGTAATCAATAACACAAATGTAAATTTTTAATGAATGTAGATTATTGCTCACTGTGCAAGCACATTTTGCGTCAGGAACAACCAGTGGCGGCCTAAATTTTTATTAAAAAAATAGCACTAATGCAAAAATAATAAAGGAAAAACTTTCTTATTTTAGCGTGTACCGTCATCCCCTTAAGGGATGACAACTTATTTATGACACCCTGTATATATATATATATATATATATACATATATTTATACATATACAAGGTGTCCCTAAACTTAGTGGCATAAATTTAGAAGCAGATTAAGCAAGTCAAAATAAGAGAAAAATCAAAATAAATATTTTTCCTAATAAGGTATGTTTAAAAGATACAGGGTGATCAAGTGTTACTTATCATATCAGTTATTTTTAATACTTCTACTATGGTAGACTTGGAAGGGTGATATTTTGCGAACAGTCACTTACTATCAAAACACATATTCACAAATAATTACAATTGTTCGAGTGAACGCAGTGTCGTAGAAACAGGGGTTGCTTAAGCTTATTGTCCCATACAAACTTTGAGGTTAGGTTTTTATACCATTTTCGATAACTCATTTCGGCTACTATTAAAAAGGTGTAGCTCTCAAACTTCGATAAAATAAACCGTTTCCGAGATATTCGAGATTACAATAATTGTTATATCGCATTAAAGGACTAAAAGGTATATGATAACAAATTTTTTAATTGAAAAATACAATTTTTTTTAATGTAGCCGTCAGGGCAAAAAATAATCAGGCTCATGGAATGCCCTTTTTAGTTTTTTCAATTAAAAAATAAAATTTGTTATCATATACCTTTTAATTCTTTTAATTATGCGATATAACAATTATTGTAATCGCGAATATCTCGGAAACGGTTTATTTTATCGAAGTTTGAGGGTACACCTTTTTAATAGTAGCCGAACTGAGTAATCGAAAAATTCCATCAAATGGTATAAAAACCTAACCTCAAAGATTGTATGGGACAATAAGCTTAAAGCAACCCCCGTTTCTACGACACTGTGTTCACTCAAACAATTGTAATTATGTGTGAATATGTGTTTTGGTAGTAAGTGACTGTTCGCAAAATATCACCTTTCCAAGACTACCATAGTAGAAATAATATTAAAAAAACTGATATGATAAGTAACACTTTATCACCCTGTATCTTTTAAACATACGTAATTAGAAAAAATATTTATTTAGATTTTCGTCTTATTTTGACTTGCTTAATCTGCTCCTCAATTTATGCCACTAAGTTTAGGGACACCTTGTAACATAAAAAAGGAAAATTTGTAATTTTTTGTAGTGATAGACCAAAAAATTTTCTCTAATTTGAGTCGTCGCTTGCCTAAATTTTACTGCATAATAACAAAAACGACTTTCTTATGTTGTATAACTTGCAAGATATCAAATGAACGATAATTTTGCTGGCAGTTCTGACAAGTCAAAAATGTTACCTATTTTCATCCATAGTCTCCATGATGGTGGCTGCAGTTGGTTCCTTTCCTAAAAGATCCTCTATATCGACTACAGGGCTTTCCTCGCAACATGTTTCGGTTATGGTAGGCAACCCGGTGCACGTGTGATTTTTACCTGTCAAAAAAAAAACGTTAAAACTGCATAATCTGGATGAAACTTTACCATGCTATACCATAACAAGTTGATGATGGACTAGCTGCTATATTGGTAGTTTCAGCTTCAGGAGTAATCTGGTTTTCAGAGAGAATGTCATTGACTTCATTGCTGAGGTCCAGGTACCTTGAAAAACGTCTGCGCATGCGTTGATGTAAGACTAGGCAACCCACAGTGACTATGAAACATAGCACTAGTAAAGATACTGCTATGACAGCTTGTGTTACACCATAGACGAAATTTGGGTTCATTTTGTCAAAAGGAACTTTTTCTTTTTTATCAAAGAGTAGAATAAGTATAGAAGCCATTATAGGTACACTAAAATAATAATAATACATACACATACCATATATTAAATATTTTTTTAAATTACCCCCATCCCACTGAGAAAAAAATAGGCTGTAATTTGAGCACAAAACATAGACTTCTGCATTGTAAAAATAGTAAGGTTATAGCTAAGATTGCTGTCCATAGTCTGGTACTGTAAACACCTACAGTAAATAGAGAGAATTGGATATAACCTGCCCAACCTTGTTTTTCATTCAAAGTATTCCATAGAATAGCTCCTAAGCAACTTACAAGCTAAAAATATTTTTAATTACAATTTTTATGGTATAATCATATAAAAAATAATTTAAAATGAGAGGTCACATGCCATACTTTGCATAAAAAACAACTTACTATCGTTTGTTTTTCAAGTAAAGTATGGTACTCATTTTAACGAAATTTGTATGCTCTTTCCATTAAAAGTTGTATTTACCTGTGATATAATAAGACAAGTGGTAATTTTGTGTGGAATTCTGCATATTTTTTTCGTCAAAGAAAAAACGAAAATAACCCAACAACAAGCTATGATGCCTATAATGCTTATGTCGAATGTAAAAGCATCTAGTTGTTTTATATAATCCGAAGGGCTAGCATTTGTAATTGTTATCATTTTTGCAGATACAAACATCAAAGGGGCGCTGATAAAAGTACAAGCCACCATGGCACTGGCAATCTAAAAAAATTCCATATTGATAAATTGAAAAAAAAAAATTGTATTATTGTATAATTAATTGGCCAGCTAACTTACCAGATCTACGTCTATGGAATATTGCGTTGAAAACACAAAAACGGTGGGTGCACTGGGGAATGTACCATATAAAAATCCATAGGTACTTAGATCCAAAGTTTCAGTTTTATTATACCCAGCATTTACTAAACTTATTACTTCTCTGGTGACCAAGGGTAAAACAATTCTATAAATAAATAATAAATGTCATTGTTTAAAAAAAAGTTTCAACTAAACTTACAATTTCACCATTATTAAAATACCAGGTACAACCAGGGTAGCACCACGTAATTTGTGAACTTTTCCTACCATTCTAAGACCAAGTAAAAATAGCGCGCTTGCTGAAAAAGCTGAACCTAATACCTAAAGAATACAAAAACAAATTTTATAACATACAATTTTGCACATGACAACACCGCTTTACTGGACAATCTGGCAATGTTAGTTTAATACTATTAAATTAATACAACTATAGTTGTATACTTCTCTTGCAAATTATTTCTTACCTCCAAAACTCCACCCAAATAGCATGGAACATTGTGCTTAAAAATTAGATTCCCCAATATCCCCAAAATTGTCATTAAAATAATAGGGTTTAAAAATATGTTCTTTGCAACCGTCACAATCATTTTTAATCTTTTTTTGTGCACAGAACTTGGGGTTTGTATCTCTCCATCATCTATTAAAAGTTGTTCTGGGTCATTGTTAGAATTTCTTTTATTTATTTCCATTAAAACAAAAGATATTGGGTTTAGAATTGCCAATGATATAGGCGCCATTAAATATAAATAACTTGCATATTCAGGGTGAGTAGATTTGTATAGAGCCTCAACTAAAATTATATAAAATATAATTTTTTATTGAAGAATTGCATATGAAAATAAAAATCCTTTAATATGAGGGGTCACATGCCATACTTCAAAAAACAAAAAGCATACTATTGTTTGTTTTTCTGCGAAAATTATTTTGTTTATCAAGTAAAGTATGGGTTGTGGGTACTCAGTTTAGGGGATTTTTTATGCTTCTTTCATTTCTTTTACCAATGGGGTATCCAATAGCAAAATCATTACTCTGTGTGCAAAAAATTGCAAAAATTCCAGCTCGTCCCAAATTAAATGGTCTTGATACCAATAATGTTAGTATGGTCACAGAAAAAAATACTATACTTTTTGAAACCAAAATTGATAATAGAAATAACCAGTTAACACATGATAAATCCAGTTTAGCCAATGACATGAAAATAAGGGATGGTAACGAAAAAGTCCCTACAAATGTGTTTATTCCTTTGGCTTCAGTTTCAGAGATTAGGTTCATACGACCAGCAAAATATCTAAAATTTTATTTTAGTAATAAAAATGTTGATATTAAAATATAAACACAAAATTATTTAAAATGAGTCACAAGCCATATTTGCATTACAAATAAACATAGGTACCTAAAGTATAGCTTGTTGGTACTTATTTAAATGGATTTATATATAAAATTATTTATAAAAACTGATAAGTTATGAAACATTTGTAATATGATAACAAAATTTATAGAGGTTAAACCTCAGGTTAAACTTTTTAGAAATATATATTAGAAGTAATAAATTAATATTTATCCCATTTATCACATAGGTTTCATAACTGATATCAGTTTTACTTGCAATGAAAAAAAAAAGAATTTTTTTTTAATGCTTAACCATAAATAACAAAAAGGCATTGTAATTGTATGCTTAATTAAATTATTATAATAAAATCTCACCCGCATATTATAATAACAAAACATTCTGTTAAAGCTGGGTACAAATTCTCTATAGCTGCCCCCGGGTTATCCTCCAAAACATTGGAGGAATTCATTTTTAAGATTTAATAATTTAACTTATTAATTCAACAATTTTTCTGGAATATCATCCTATAAAATCAATATTTTCTATGGTTTGACCTAATGACAACTTTAATTATCACGGTGTATTAAAAGTACATTGTTTTTTGCACTGTCTTTACTTGTTTGAATCACCAAACCTAAAAACTATCACCAAAAAATCACAACCACCGATCACAATGGCATTTTGGAATCTACAAGACGCCTGTGAGTTTGACAGATGACGTATATTGCCATGATGCTAAATGTACTGTAAAAGACAAGTTAAGATGTTAAAAATAGGGAATGTGTAATAACAAAAAGTTTTCTGTTTAAGATTAATATTTTTTGTTGATTATTATATGAAACTAAGCTAAATCCTCTAAAATAATTCAGAAAATTTTGGATTTATAATACATATGACAACGTTGTGGATTTAGGCACGTAGGCCATCTAGTTTGTAGCAAAACATATAGGTGGCACTAAAATTTTTACGAAAAATGCATTTTTAAAGGATTTTTATATTAAATAATATTAAACAAAGTTTGTTTTCTACTATAATACTATTTAATTACTTTTTCAGTGAAAATCAATTATATAGCTAATAAATATTATCTCTGCCATAGAAATAATAGTATTATTTTTATGATCTCTTCCAATATTATTGTTTAGTGCAGCCATTATTGAATAGATGGCGACACATTTTTATGGCCGTATATAAATTCCAAAATATTTCGCTCGAAATTTTGTGCTACTTAAAAATTGATGGTCTCATTTTTCATCGGTTTCCAATCGGTTTAGGGGTAAAAACAACTTTCCTAAAATAGTTTTGCAAAAAATCGATTTTTACAATACTTTTTGTGGATGTTTTTTTCAAAAATTGGTAACTCCTGAACTGGTTCATCAAAACATTTTTTGTATCAAAATTTTTGTTGAAAAATATACTTTACGATACAAAATTTGTTGTTAGGGGCAAACCTTTAAAAAAAATGAAGCTTTTTTTTTAAACAATTGAAAAATAATAAAACTTCTCCGCCTGCGAGGAAATTTTTTCACATTTTATCTTATTTTATAAAAATGCTGGTAAAAAAAAAATTATTATTTTGTAAAAGGTCAAAAGTTATAAATGTTTTTGTGACCGCGCTCCGACCTAGGTCGGAGCGCTAGAGCTCTAGCGCTGGACAAGCACGTTTGGCCCTGGCGAAAATAAAGCGTGCATGAAAAGTGTGCAATAAGTGTATATTTGGAGTTCAAGTCTTTATAACAATGTGCATACATGTACATGTGCACGCTACTTTCTGGTAATTTCACACTTTTTGAAATAATTAAGTTTTTTCACTCTTTATGTACATTGACATCACGCTTTTTATTTCCCTTGCGGCCTTGAGTTCACGGTTTATTCACCGTGAATTCACTGTGAATTCACCGTAAATAAACCGTCTGTTTGTGACATTTGTAAACGGTAGTTAGACGGTGAATTCACGCACTTTTCACAGACGGTTTATTCACGGTGAATTCACTGTGAATTCACCGTGAATAAACCGTGAACTCAAGGCCAATGGAACCACTACGGACTTGGCTTTTCAATGTCGTCGTTTATTAAATATGTACTGGTAGTTTATAACTTCCAGAATAAAAATATAGGTAGGTAATGTTTAAGTAGGCAGGTAAATTTATAAACCCTTTAAATTTTACTGTTGAACTTGTGAATTTAGTTTTTGTAAAATAAATGCGCTTCATCAATATTTAAGTATAAACAAATTATTTATTTAATAATGTTTATAAATAAAAAAATCTTAATATTTATTATTAATTTTTTATTTAATTATTAATACCGTCTATTAGCAACAAAATTACTATTTATTAAAAAGTAAACAACCATTTACAAACAATTAAAATAATTTATTATTTACATTACCACGTGGTACTTGCAACCTTGAGATTACCGTGAATTTGCGGTGTTTTCACAGTAAACTCACAACGCTTTTACGGTGAATTCACGGTGATTTCACGATAAATTTACGGTACTTTGACAGTGAATTTGCGGGGATTTTGCAAATTTGAGTTCACCGTGAATTTACCGTGAAATCACCGTGAATTAACCGTGAAATCACCGTGAATTTATCGCAAAAACAGCGTGAGTTCACCGTTTAATTACCGTCTACAAATGTCACAAATGGACGCCATTGGACGGTATATTTACTGCTCATAATCGGTGTATTCACGGTGAATTCACGCAAACGGTGAATTCACCGTAAACTCAAGGCCGCAAGGGTTGTCATATGTAACGCTTATATTACATTATATTTTAGCACATTATTTGCACAGTGTTAGTACATTGTTTAAAGACATTTTGCAAAGCTTCAGTCTATCTTACGCATGTCACATTTTATACACACTGTTAGCACGCTTTAATATTTCTCATTTATGACGCTTATATATAAGCGTCATAAATGAGAAATAATATATTACACCTTATTATAGCACATTGTTTGTACAGTTTTAGCGACCACTTAACAGTTTAGGCACATTTTAGATATATCTCGCTTGAGTTGGGGCACAACATTTATTTAAAAGGTAAGGTAGATTCCATCTTATGTATCGCTTCTCGGCCTGTTGCTAAGATCAAAGCAAGTCCCTTCATGGAGTTGACAGCTGCAGGTATTTTTCTTAATAAAATACAGTATGTAGGATCTACATTGTGGGTATTTTTTATTTTAATTTTTTTTGAAAAAAATATTTATTTGATTAATATTATTATAAGGATATTTATATTTCAATTATGTGTAAATTTAAAAGAATCTGTTTTTGTAATAGGCACAAAGGTGGCAAGAAACAGTGTGCAAACAATGTGAAAAATCAAAAGGAGTTCCCTTTAGAACATTGTCCAGTGATTATTCACACTTTTAAATTTTTGGTTTTGCACATTGTTTCATGTTCCATTTCCCACCATCCACACATCATTTTTTTTAAAAGATTGCACATTGTTGGCACATTGTTCTCAAATAATTTTGCACACTTTTAGCACATTTCAAAGAAGTGTACCGAATTTGAACTTAATATCTTATCAATTACTCGAATTATTAAAAAAAAATCAGTTTTAAATTTCAAACTTTGTCGCCCTGTATATCAAACATGAAGCTCTAAATTTAAAAATGGTATTATATAAGTCTTATTGTTTTAACTCAAGGAATATATGGTAAGCGGATTGACCTCCTTTTTCCAGACACCCTGTATAGTCGCACTACGGCCCATATCCGCCGCGTTATGACAAACTAAAACTTTCGACCACGAAGGCACATTAATAGCTTCGTATGCAACAGATGGAATTACTTTATCAACAAAAATTCTATCAAAATAAGGCCACGCCTTATTTTGATAGAACCCACGCGTGGGTTGAAACTACAAATGTCCTTAATGATTAAGGCTTAATCAAGCAACATTTTTAAAATCAAGTGACTGGACTACAGTCAAGATTTCTTCGATAAAAAGCCGTCCAATTATTTCGATGCCAAGAATACCCAGGGCCGGATTTAGGCATGGGCCACATGGGCCCGGGCCCAGGGCGGCAAATTTTTAGGGGCGGCAAATTTTGAAGACCAGTTAAAATTTTGCTAAAAAATCAAGAGCGTTTTATGCAGAATTTTTGTTTTCACTCAGATTTATACACTAATTAAAAATATAAAAAGTTGGAAGAGAAGTTTTTTAATACATTTGATAATTTTATATCAGACTACACTATTATTCTGCCTAGTGCGTCACTGCGTAGAAGGGCGGCAGTCGATGTACACGAGGCGAGTGGGGCGCGACTCTAGCTTATTCGCTGAGTCATTCGTTATTCGGGGTAATGATGCGTTTGGCCCATGGGCGGCAAATTCGTAAATCCGGCCCTGAGAATACCAGCCCATACATTGAATTTTTGCGTAAACTAAGTATGATCCTCTCGAAAAACATATGGAATTTCATTGCCCCAGTACCTAAAATTGTGGGTATTTACAAATCCATTTAGAAAAAAATCGCTAAAACAAATATTTTTTAATAAATTGGGAGCAACCACAATTCTTTACGTGATATCCTCACAAAACTGGATTCTTCTGTCGTAGTCATCTTTGCTGGAACATTTAAATATTATAAGAAAAAAACTTATTTATTTTTAGCTCCTTATTAACTAAACAAACCGAAATATTTGTAAAAGTAGCTACTTTTGGAATGGATGTGGATTCCATAGCAAAATGACCGAGAACTTCAATTTGTGCAGCTTCATCCAGTACACTCGATCTTGTGTGTTTTCTTTTGCACACTGAACCAGTTTCCCTAAATTTTTTCACCAGGTTACTGACGTATTTATGGCCTACATTTTTGCCTAGATGCCTCATATTAAAAACGGGTGTGGTTCTACGAGCACAGCCTGTGCTGCCTGTGCTGCACAGGAATCAAATCCGTAAATAAAAATAAATTCTTTAAAGTAATTCTTTATTTAATCCAAAAAAAATTACAATTGATTTGGTTTATCCTTATTTTATTTATCCTTTATTCTTATAAATTACAGCTAAATAAATAGTTACAATCATATAATCAGACTATTTACAAATAAATAAATAATTACATCACTTTACCTATGATTACATTTACATTACACCTTAATCATTAGAAGTACCTATTTGATTTATCCAAGTATAACCCAGAAAACATTTTAATTGCGACTTAAACCTGTAAGTTTTTTATTTTTTCAGGAAGTCCCTTATAATATTAAATATATGAATAAAAACAAAACTTTTTTATTTATGTTTTTTTTATTTAACAATTGTTTCGCTACACGGTAGCTTCTTCAGAATAAGTACAAATTTTTATTAAGTGGCGGTATTTATATTTGCTAAAGTTCTTTGAAAAAAATACGTGTTGTATAAACATTATACCTGAGAAAACTATGAACTATCTAATATAGATTTACAATATTAATTAATTTGGTCAATAACAACTATATAACTACATGTAAATCTTATCATGATTGATTTTGTTAAATTTACTTTCATAGTAAAGCTTTTTGGCTCTTTTTATTTTTGTTTTCACTGTTTTGTTTGCATTTGTATGCAAGAATTTATATAAGCGATTTAAAAAAAACGATGCACGGCACTGGATTCTGAATCTGAATTTCACCACCCCTCAAAACGACCTCATAAGTACTAAATTTTATTGAAATTTTTTAAGTAAGAACGATTTTGTTGCCAAATTAAAAATGAACAATAATAACTATTTACAACAATTTATTCTGTCAAGTTATCTATGAAAAAAACATTGAAATAAAATTTAAATAATAGTAAGTTAACTTAGTAATTACTATTAGTAACACGGTATAAATATTCTTATGCGTAGTTTTGGCAAATAAAAAACGCAATAGAAATTTAACTTAAAACAACAATGAAACAAAAAATAGAGAATTCAAAATATTCTCTACAATTAGATTTTCGTCACGTCTACTGCAGGGCTTCGGTAATATAAGCCTGCGCAGTAGGGTGGAGCGAAATATGAATATTTTTAAAATTGAAAACGCCTGTATACAGAAAAGTTGTGTATGATAAAAATAAATATTTTGGTGAAAAAAAAATATTTTTTTAATTCCTTCCGCTGACCCAGAGCTATTCTAAATATAAAAAATCAAAAAATTCAGAAGAGGGCAAAAAGCGGTTAAAACATTTTTTTTAGCCAAGATTTTTTTAGAGCATAACAAACTTTTCCAAAATTGGGCACATTGATTATCAAAAAAAAAGCTAAATGGGGCCCCCGGTCAATTTTAAAAATACCAATATTTTCATATTTGACATTGACTCGGGGTCCGCCCATTTTTTTTTAAATTAAAGTGCACAACTCTGGAAAAGTTACTTATGCTCAAAATAAACAACTTGGTTCAAAAAAAAAAAATTAAATTTGTACTACCGTTTTTTGCCCCAGCTCAAATATTATAATTTTTGTGTTTGCCATGGCTCTGCAGCAGTGGAAGAAATTAAAAAAATATATACTTTTTATCACCAAAATGTTTATTTTGAATATCAGTACACGGAGAGAAAAATTTTGCCAAAATAACTATCCAAAGTATTGTTAAATGACGTATCGTGAATTTAGTCAACTGTTTTATTAAACTGAGGATCTGTATAGCTAATTTAGCCATACAAATCCTCAGTTTAATAAAACAGTTGACTAAATTCACGATACGTCATTTATCAATACTTTGGATAGATATTTTAGCAAAATTTTTCTCTCCGTGTAACTTTTCTAAAATTGGACACTTCGATTAAAAAAAAAACAACGAAATGGGCGGACCGGGGGGCCTCCATTTAGCTTTTTTTTTGAAAATCAATGTGCCCAATTTTGGAAAAGTTAGTTATGCTCTAAAAAAATCTTGGCTAAAAAAAAATTTGTTTAACTGTTTTCTGCCCTCGTCTGTATTTTATGATTTTTATATTTAGGATAGCTCAGGAGTGCGTTCGAAATGAGTGCACTTTGGATATGGTATAAGGATAGGTATATAATCAGTGGCGGATTTACCAGCAGGCTGAGTAGGCTCGAGCCTAGGGCGGCAGATTTTGGGGGCGGCAAATTTGGGGAACGATTTTTTTTTTACCTCGTAGAAATCAAAAAGATTTTTCTATGACGGTTTTCTGATGTCTTACAGATAGAAGTCTGCAACAAATTTTGTCGATGACTTTTCTCTCTCACTTGTCATTGCACATTCCGAGAGTAGCAAACTTCCATATTCTAGAGTAAAACAGCTAGTTCGCCGCCCCTCAACCAGTAATCGGCCTCTCGCCTCTGCGCCCTTTGCCCACACTTCTTATGAGTGAAAAGAGCGAAATTGTAAAAAATATGCCAGTCTTACTACTGGTTGGAGGCTACGAACTGGATGGTTTGTATATAATTTTTCGATTTTTATTCGAATATAATGAATAATTTAGTGAATAATTTTACCGATTTCAATTTTATGTATCGACTATTGTGTTTCACATGCACTAGTAGCTTCAGAAAATTCGATTGGAATTCAAAAAAAATCTTGAACAGTAATAGCGAGATAGTCTTAAGTCAAAAAAATATTTTTTCCCCGAACGCGGTATTTTTTTAATGCTACAATGTTATCAATGACGTCAATGTTGCACGTGCACGTGGCGAGCTTATACCGAAAAATTATTTTTATTGCATTGTAAAAATAATGTATGATATGACAATAATTGTTGAGGCAAGGGCGGCAAAAACTATTCAGCCTATACCTTGAAAATTTGTAAATCCGCCACTGTATATAATCACGTGACTTTACATTATACCTGACCTCCTTGTTATTTTCGAATTGGTTTTGCTTGTTATTTGACTGAATACATATAAATATTAAATTATTGAATTTGAACCCTTTAATTATATGGTTTATTCAAGTTTTTGTGATAGATTTTGTTTTGTTTTTTAGAATTGATATTTTTTAAATAATTTATTTTAAATAAATTCTTTTATTTAACTGATTTTCGTTTTTTTTTTATTAAATTTTAAATGGATATTAATAAATTATATGAAGGTAAATTCAATTTATTGTTTGATGTACCCTATGCGCATGACGGGTAAAACTTAACCAAGTCTAAAGCTTGGACAACCGAGAGTGCACTCTGGGCATATACTTGCTGTTTTCGAACAGCTGACAGTTACATATATCTAGGTATATACCAGAGAATTCGAACAGGCAAGGTAAACTTGGAGTGTATCCAGAGTGCACTCTTGCGAGTTTTCGAACGCGCTCCAGGGGCAGCGAAAGGAATTAAAAAAATAATTTTTTTTCACCAAAATATTTATTTTTATCCTACACAACTTTTCTATATACAGGCGTTTTCAATTTTAAAAATATTCATATTTCGCCCCACCCTACTGCGCAGCCACAACAAATATAATTGTAAAGGATTTTTGAATTTTCTACTTTTTGTTTTATTGTTGTTTTAAGTTTCTATGGAATATTTATACCATGTTACTATTAGTTTTATGTTTTTTCACGGATAACTTGACGCAATAAATTTTTGTAAATGGTAATTATTGTGCATTTTTAATTTAGCTACAAAATAATTCCTACTAAATTTTTTTTAATAAAATTTAGTACTTATAGGATCGTTTTGAGCCTCAAAATTTGAGGGGTGGTGAATCCAGTGCCGAGCATAGATTTTTTTGTAAACATATGGTGTTTTTTGCTCCAACTCCAGCTTATCAAGATGTACCCTTTAAAAGAAATCCGGTTAAAATCGCACAATAAATAACAAACTGTAGATGCTTGAAATTGAACGCATTTTTTTAAATTGCGTAAAATAAAAAATAATTTAAGAATAATAATAATTTATTAACAACTAGGCTAAAATTAAAATATAAACTTTGTAATTTCGGTTAGATTACTTTAATTAAATATTTTTAATGAGTATTCTTTAAATGTCTTTTTAGAGTACTTGCAAGTGTAGTTTTATAATTGCAATGTTTGCATGCATGTACTTTGGAAGTTATAATATTTTTGTTAGATTCGTTCAAAATATCTGAATGTTTAATTAAAATATGATTGTCCAAACTAGATTTTTTGTTACATTGATGTTGACAGAAAGAACACTTCAATTCTTTAATTTTATTATGAGTTTTTATATGACTAACTAAATTCCTTTTTTGAATAGTTCTATATTGGCAAATATGACAGTCATACCATATGGCATTTTCTAATTTCAGACATACTTTGATGTGATTATCAAAATCAGATTTTCTAACAGTTGAGTATGAACATTTAGCACATGTGTGTATTTTGCTGGTTATTATTATTTTATTTTGTCCTTTATTTTCTAGTTTATGCTTGCTTATAATATGTGCATTTAAAGTCTTTAACTCAGCAGCGATGTAGGGACAAAAATGGCATTTTAAATATTTGTTCTTGTCGTGCATTTTTAAATGTTGGTTAAAATATCCTTTTCTTACAGTTGCGTAATCACATTCAATGCATTTGAATTTTTCCAGTTCGTCCTTTTTGTGAATATACTTTTTATGTGTATATAAACCATGCTTTCTTGGAAATTTCTTAGGACATAGGTCACACTTGAACCACTTTTCTTGGCCAACTATTGGTTTTAAACATCCTTCCTTGTGACTTTCTGTAAAAAAAAGTGTATTTAAGTATTACAGTCCAGTCAAACCGCGGTGAAAAAATCCTGTTTGAAAAGCTTAAAACCTAACCATTTTACAAAGATATACGCAAAAATAATTTTTTTTTAGTTTTTAGCGAATATTTTGGCCCTAAATATTGAACACCAAAACTAAACACAAAGTGCTTAAATTTAAGTACTTTTCGCCAACGATGTTGGCATCTTCAGACTCGAAATGTAACTAAATCTACCATATTTATACCAATTATAAGCTAAGGTTGACTGAACCGTGAACGGACACATTTTACTAAACTGTGGATTGTAACCGCTTCAGTGAACATGTAAAGAGAAACTAACAAACTAATTTATACAAACTAGAGTTGGGTACCGGTCCGTTATCGCTATTAAATGATTTATTTCAATTCCTATAGATGTATAAACTTTTATAACTATCTAGCAGACTTGGTTCCCTAACTTCCTTAATAAGTTTAAGGTTGAATCCTATTCTATGACCATCATAGAAATTTGACCCTTACTTGGATGGATCGTTTAGTTTGTCCAACATATTTCTTGCCACAATCTTGACAGTTTATTTCGTAGATCCCCGACTTTTCAATTTTGGGAATCTTATCTTTTGGGGTCTGGAGTGTGTTACTGCTTGAAATAAAAGCAATGTATTAGATTTAGTTACACTTCGCTTCTGAAGATGCCAACATCGTTGGCGAAAAGTACCTTAAGCCCTTTGTGTTTTGGTTTTGGTGTTTGTATTTTGTTTCTAATATTTGTTTAACATATCACCAAAGTTGTCCATTTTTAAGTATCCCCATATATAGCAAAATAAAAAGTAAAAAAGCAAAATTATTTTTTATAAAATTTCCAGGTGATTATTGTTTAAACTAATGAGTATGAGTGTAAGAGGCCCCATCGGCTACGCCTTACACTGATCTTCTAGGGTTATTTTACCCCCTTTCGGTTCTATATGTATCCCGGAATTTTGTCGCCGGGCCGACCATACGCCCGATTTAGGCTAGTGGAGTGTAGGAGAAGAAGGGACAACAGTTGGTTTTTCGAGGCCTTGAACTGACCCAAAACTAAGTACAATCCGGACTCCCCCTCAACCAGGGTATTAGTAATGACCTCATTCAATTGGGGTTTATGAATGAGGCATGGATAATTAGTACGTTATTTGGACATCCTTGCTGGTCTTGAATTTCATCCGGGTCTCTGTCCGGACTGCTGGAATTCGAAACCTGCTGCACGCAGTTTTTTGCCCCAAAGGGGTGTTATTTACTTTCCCCACACTCTTAAAAATACTTAAAATGACTCGTTATGAATTTTTGACTCTTTTTCCCAGCGGAAAGGCAGTCGCTAATGATTAAACAAATTTTATTGGGTTTGGTTTAAAGTTTTTTTAGAATAGTTCTTGTTTACTCACCTAAGCAATCCCTATAATTATTAATTTAACTATTAGTAGTAAGAACTATTTATTAAAAACGACTATTCGTTGTTTTCTTGTGGTGGTAGAAATTGTGTTTACGTTTTCTTTTCATATTTAACAATTAGGAAATTGCATTTGTATTTATTTTTACTGCTTCTACTATTTATTTATTTTATACTCGAGAAGGTCTCCCAGTTTGTTTAATAAGGCAAAGATTAGAAAATGGTTTGATTACTTACAGAAGATTTATGTGTTTATTAAGTATTGCCTGTCACGTCCTATACTGCCTGTGCATTCGGTATCTTTGGTTTATTTAATGTAGGGGTTCGTTAACCCTGTTCAACTCTTTTATTCTTTCTTGTTGATTTCTACGGATTTGTCACTATGGAAGGTGTAAACACACCCGTAGGCTCGGTGAATTTTTATTTATGCAAAAAGCGAAGTGAAAATATTAAAAACTTATCTGAATATGGCTCCTTGTCCCCTAGTAATTGGTTTCTTCCTAGTTCATGCCGTGATGAACTACCTGTTCAGGTGGGGTGGCAGTTCACTTCGCGCTTTTAAACTTTTAGATTAGGTTTTAAATGCACTGACTATGCACTGTATAATTGTTTATAGTTCGGAGCGGAAAAACTATTACGTCTCGACCGTAGCAGTGTTGATTCGGTACTGATGACGTGATTATTGTTTAAACAAATGAGTATAAAAATATAGTTAGTTAAAATGAAACTTTTTTTTTTACTTTTTTGCAAATGTTTCGCCAACGGTATATTTTATGGTAAATTAGTATGATTAACATTTTGTACAACAATTAATATTCTACAATTAAAAAAAAATAGAGTTCGGTGCGACTAACGAGATTGAACATGGCCGAGCTCGTACACCAATAAGAACCTTTTTTTTTACTACTTTAAAGGAGGCTGGTTTTTTATAGCGGCATTTTCTGTAGGTCTAATCAACGTCAAAATATATTTATTTCTTCTATATATGTTTATGATCGTTTGACTGTGATTTTTTTTAGTGTCGGTGTTTAGTGTAGTTTGGTAGGTGTGTGCCTTTTTTAGATTTGCTGTATCTTGTAAGAGAAACCAGGGTTGGTAGATCAAACATATCTCTTTGTCAAAGTCAATGGCAATCTATCTAAAGTGGCGCAGTCAATGTGTAATCAATTTTTAATAGATTTTATTGAAACCTATGGACAATTTCATGCCTGTAGTGCGTAAAATCTATAGAAGGTATGAAAACATGAATAAAAATTACTTCTAATCAATGCTTTTTCTCCATGACAGTAAAAACAGAATTCTCGTAGTATGTGGCAGTTGCGGATTAAGACCGTCGGGGGCCCGGGGCGGCAAAATAAAAGTTGAGACCTCAAGTCCTCTTAGACACAGTTTCTCTTTAATAAAAGATTATTATTATTTAAAAAAATGGTTCAATACCTTATATTGAATTTCTTAGTAAATCCACCTACACAGCCCTACAAAATTTTTAAACAGAAAACATACTACCTACCTATGTATGTTTTTCTGCAGGTTTTTGTCGCGCTCAATCCTAAAAGGACCTCAGAATTACTCCATCACGAGAAATTCCAACAAAAAAGTGAAAACTCAGATTAATTTTACTATTACTTCACAGGCTCCTTACAACCGAGGGCCCAGGTGCACTGCAACCTCCACTAGCACTAGTTACAGATCTGGGTTAAACTTTGAATATCCCAGCTTAAAATACCCCATAGAGACCTATATATCGGGCGCTACCGGATTCAATATGTGCATTTGTCCATGTTTTTTTCCGGATACGGCCCGATAGAAAATTTATAGGAAATTACCTATAGGCACACCATAACTTTTACATTTTCCCCATTGAGACCGATAGCAAATAACTTAATGAAGGATATATAGGGATATCCCTATAGAACAACCATAAAACATTTGACAAAATTTTATTAAAACCTATGGGATCCTATGGGGGAAAAACTAAATTCTACAGTTATGTGTATTTTCCCCATTGAAACCAATAGCAAATAAATCAAGGGTGGATATCCCTATAGAACAACCATAAATCCCAACTATGGGTCCTATACAAACCGGTTTGAACAGGGTCTCTATGGGGTATTTTAAGCAGGGATAACTATATCTGAGTAGATATGTCATTACCGTGTCCTAATAAAACATAAAACAAAATATTTCAGCGTTATTTATATTAGACTGTGGGAGACTTTTTGGTGTTTGGGGCCCCTTAGTTCGCCGCTGGTGTGTGGGCATTGACATATTGACGTTTTGGCATGACGAACTATGGTCTAAATAGCGATTTTAGCGCGAATTAATTCAAAAAGTAGGTTACTTCCAATACTGACATAATTAGTGTGACAGTTCAATGTATGTATCAAAGTTATCAAAAATTGAAGCTCAGATAAATAAATATTCGATTAAAATCACAATCGAACCACATAATTTCAAATTATGTTAATTGTGTTAATTTTTTTTGTTGCTATTCCATGGTTGTTTGTAAAGGATTTTGTTACTTTGGTACAATCACTGATTACATGGACTACGAACGTTCCTAAAGTTTTAAAAAATTGACTTTATGACTTTACATTAAATAAAAATAAGGCCTTTATATACCTTCTGTGTTTTTTATGGACCCATTTCAATAATGCGTCATTATAATGTCGACATATAAGAAATACTTAAAAAATTTAAAAATACATAAGAATATAATATTTCAGAAAAATAATGCTATTAAATAAAAAGTTAAATAATTTATTTATTGCGTCAAAACAAAGAGTTTTTGAATCAAATTAAGAACGGTTTAATAAAGCTTGTTCATTATACTTGCAAATATTAAAAAAATTATAATTTTGCAAATTGCCATTAAGGATTAGTTTATAATCTTATTTCATGGGATGGGCGGGATATGATGGATGGAATAAAATCAAAATGGTAATATTTTAAAAAAAAATCATATTTTATTTAATATTAAATCCAAAAATCACAAAAAATTAACAATGATCAGATTCTTTAACACTAGGTACCTAAGTATTTAACACTTGTTGATATTTACTATTTTCAAGGTATTTAATTTGGTTTGACCCATTAACAGCCTTTGGCTATCAAGATTGAACCCCTTCAAATGACGCAATATGGTTCCAACGAGAATTTAACATACATTGAAGAATAGAGTGGTATGATACCACTCTATTCTTCAATGTAAGCATTAGATGCAAAAAATACGTTAATAATTTTAGCCTTCAACAAAACGACGTTGTAGAACGATTTTGCGTCATTAATTAATGCCTTTAACTTTTTCCCATGCCATTCGTTTAATTCTTCTTCTGACAATACCAACAGCCCCATTTCCATGGGACGTTGAAAAAAAATTCCAGGAACCTCACACGTCAAAATCTTGTTCCATAAGGCATAAATTTGTTAACGTAAACTTGTTTTGGTGCCGCGCACTCATCAGAAAAAATGTCAATTTGATTTAGATCCGAATTTTTTAACCACTGAATAATTATTTTTAAAAAGACCCAAACGCAAATTTTGTCATGATTAAGGTTGTCACTAACCATAGCAAAAGAGTGACAATTACTGGATACCCATGCTACGGCAGTAAATAGTATTTACTAAATACTGTAACTTGTTGATGGCTCCAGTGAGCCGATTGAATTTCATCTTGAGAGATATACGAATAACTTTGCCGCCAAATCTACTTGAAGAACGGCTTTTTATCATTTATTTCATTTTTTAACTTTTCAAACTTTTTTCCTGAATAACTTTTATATACTGGTGAATTTTAAACTGTCCTAAATATTCTTGAAGGGAATTTAGAGCCGCGCTTAGAGATCCTTTTATTTCAAGAACTTGTTGCATGCCAAATGAATTTAGCCAACTTCACAGGTTAATTATAATTTTAAACCCCTTATTTTGAATGACACTCAAAGGTATCAGTCCATATTCCATGTCATTTTCGCAAGTGTTGCAAAGTTGCTGTCATCAATATTGCAACACAAATCCAAGAGTAATTTAAAATTTTTTGGAAACTTTTTAATTTCCTTGTGAATACGTTCTATCAAATAGTTAAAATTAGCGTGATACTTGCAAACGCACACATTGTGGGGCCACGGTGTGCCTCAACGAAGTTTAAGTCACATAAAAATGCCGCCAAAAATTAATTGCAGTTTCTTGTTCGGGACTCTTTGGTGACTTAAAAATGATATTTACCAAAATCCTAAAATGTTTTGAAAATTCATGAATTTTTTTTTAATTTCTGTTTATCTTAAAGTCTACCTTTGACAGAGTACACATTTGTACACCGATTTTTATAATATTGGAGTATATTGTTAAGGAGATTTGGAGAATACTTTTTTATACTGTGCACATCATTTAATATATACAGTAGACTGGTTCAAAAAAATCGAATATTTTTTTTTCTTCAAAGCCCGCATTAAAATATCTTCCTAGTGGTAAAAAAAGAAGCCTGTGAAAATTGTAGCTCTTAATATTAATATTTAGAGGTCGCTCATCGTGAATTTCTATTTTACGTTTAAATAACACAGGAATTCTTTTAGCTTAACTTTGAAATTTTATAACTCGTTTTTGAGTGAACATATTGGAATGAACTCTATATATTTTTGAAGAAAATTGAACGTTCTACAAAAATGTCTCATAATTTTTTCGTAAATTCACTCCTTTAATAGTTATTCAAGGTTGAAATTAGACACATAATAAATGTAACGTTTAAATAACACAGGAATTTTTTTTTTACTTTTAATTTTATATCTTTTTTTTGAGTGGACATATTGGAATGAGCGATAATTTTTTTTAAAGAAACATAAAAAAAATTAAAAAAAGTTCACAAAAATCTGGAAGCGCCCTAGAGCAGCGTAATAGTTCGCTAGTCTTTTTTTAAAGCTTGTCTTGTAACCTGCTTAGCGTGAATTCGAATCCAGATTTTTGTGAACTTTTTTTATTTTTTTTTATGTTTCTTTAAAAAAAATTATCGCTTATTCCAATATGTCCACTCAAAAAAAAGTTATAAAAGTAAAAGTAAAAAAAAATTCCTGTGTTATTTAAACGTTACATTTATTATATGTCTAATTTCAACCTTGAATAACTATTAAAGGAGTGAATTTACGAAAAAATTATAAGAAACATTTTTTGTAGAACGTTCAATTTTCTTTAAAAATATATAGAGTTCATTCCAATATGTTCACTCAAAAACGAGTTATAAAATTTCAAAGTTAAGCTAAAAGAATTCCTGTGTTATTTAAACGTAAAATAGAAATTCACGATGAGCGACCTCTAAATATTAATATTAAGAGCTACAATTTTCACAGGCTTCTTTTTTCACTACTAGGAAGATATTTTAATGCGGGTTTTAAAGAAAAAAAAATATTCGATTTTTTTGAACCAGTCTAATATACAGGGTTAGCCAAAAAAGATATATATGTTTTTCTAGATATTTTTATGTTTATCAGGCTACAAAATGGGTTTCTTATTAAGACTTTATAAGAAAAATTAATTTTAAATAAAATTAAATAAAATATAATTTTTTTAAGATAAATCTTTTTTGTGCATTATATGTACTTTTTACTATATAAAAAGTGATTTTTGGCTAACCCTGCATAAATCTAATGATGGGCTCAGTATGAAAAAATTATTCTCCAAGTCTTGTTAACAATATACTCCAATATTATAAAAATCGGTGTACAAATGTGTACTCTGACAAAGATAATATAAACAAAAAATACAAAAAAATTAAGAATTTTCAAAAAATTTTGAAAAGAGGAGCAGCTAGGATTTTGGTAATATCATTTTAAAGTTACGAACAATAAACTGCAATCAATAAAAATCGGTGTACAAATGTGTAGGTACTCTGGCAAAGGTAGACTTTGCGATATACAAATAATTAAAAAAAATTATTTTTTAACAAATTAAAAAAGAAGCAGTCAGAATTTTGGTAAATATCGTTTTTAAATCTCCAAAGAGTGCCGATCAAAAAACTTTAACCAGTTTTTCGTTCAAAATTGAAAACTACTAAACAGCCTAAATTAAACAACATTTTAAATATTCTCTAAGCGTTATTTTATTTAATTTTATTAAAAAATCTATTTTTTTTAAAGGTTAATGCCATTTTGTGACCTGATAAACGTAGAAATATCTATAAAAAAATGGGGATAAATCTTTTTTGCGTGTTATGCCAAAATCATGAATTTACGCTTTTGCTTTATTAAAAAAATACGCGATTTTTGGCTCACCCTGTATATATCAAATGATGTGAACAGTATTAAAAAGTATTCTTTAAGTCTCCTTAATAATATACTCTAATTTTATAAAAATCACACTTTGAAATAAACAAAAATTTAAAAAAAAATCATGAATTTTCAACAAAAATTAGGATTTTGGTAAATATCTTTTTAAGTCACCAAAGGGTCCCGAACAAGAAACTGCAATCAGTTTTTGGCGGCATTTTTATGTGACTTCGTTCAGGCACACCGTGGGGCATATTGGAGCTTAGAAAAATGCTGTTTGGTCGTAAAATTTCGTCAACTTCATTTCTGAATCATTATTTTCCTCCAAAAAAAACTGCGTAAGCTTCTTTTATAGCCATTGACATGTGCTGTTTTTGAAGCTTAGTCTTGCCTTCTTCAGTTACGCTTTCCCGGCGCCTGGCGACTTATGTCATCCCTCAAGTAAAATTGTTGTACCTGCTTCACAAAATGTTCGTCCAGTTTAGATGATTTCCCTACATTTTTATTTTTAAGTTCTGGAACTACATTTAAAGTTAATTTTTTTACAACTTCTTTTTGTTTTTCTGGGCATTTGGGCAACACATTTTTATGTTTTTTAATGCTTTTCCCAAGGCTTGCTCTGACTTAAAACCGGTAGTTTCCTGTTTAACATCATATTCTTTCTTGCTTTATTTTCTTTTCTTTTAGTTTTTGTCTATAAGCCTTTTTTCTACTTGCTTCTTGTTTTCTTTTAGCTATTAAGACTGCTGGTGATATAAAACCGTCTAGGATTTTCTGCTTTTGCATATCTCTATATACTTTCTGCCTTTTTGAATCTTTTTTCTTAAATAAAGTATACTTTTCTAGATTTCCTTTTAGTTTTTGTCTTTGCATTTTTGCTCGTTTTCGTTCACGTTCTTTTGTACGCATTTTTTCTAAAAAAAAAAAAAGTTAAAAATTAGGATGGTCGGGACAAATTTAATTTACAATTCTAGTATAAAAGCAAGTATTTTTGTATGAAAGTAATAACATAAAATGTTTGTTGTGTGGTCAAGTTACAAATATATAAACAATATTTAAAAAATATTTTGTCCCTAATCTCTATAGAGATTATATATTTATATATATTTAAAAAAACACACTTTTTGGGATGGATGGGACAAAAATATTATACTTACCAGTTATGTAACAAATTTAATTAAACATCGCATTTGCTTCTAGTTTTGGCACAATTAAACAATAAACAGAACGACAAATGTCAAAAAAGAATCGAATTGACACTCGCCGATTTTGTTTTTTCATAGCCCACTGTGAAAGTTAGGCAATATTCTGGCTTAAAAAGCATTGAATGCATGCTATATATGTTACTACCTGAAAACCGAAAGTATAATATAAATTTTCTTAAAGCAATATGTAAAAGAAGAAGTGATTCGGAAATGTCCGATCTGGCAAATGGTTAACCTCACTTTTTACCAATTTTAAATGTTATTATAGTCGCCTTCTCCCAATGTAAAACCCGATTGGTTTAAATCACAGTGAATATTGAAATCGACTAATCACTGATGCCTAACAACGTAAATAATGAGTTTATTATTCCCGTTGTTAGGCAGGCAATTTATATTGTTTATCAATTATCACGGAAAAAACACAAAATTATGCAATAGGAGTAGATTCAAAAAATTAATTATTTCATTAAACAGAATTTCCAAAACCGTTTTTAATTTTTTCTGTCAAAACGGTTAATTTGCGAACATATGTTATTAAGCAAAAAATGTTTGTTTTAATGTCCTTTACCACCCCAGAAAGTGTGTAGGTATGTTTTTCGGACACCCTGATAATCGCATCTTTTCTTTGAATACAAAAAATCGTAATTTCTGTAATTCCCAGCCATTATTTCTTAATATTTTGCGGAAAAAAATATCATTGCACTCGTGGTGTCGTCGGCTAACCACGTATTAGAAATTATGATAATTACGGTTGAATACAAAAAATATATACGGCTGATAGTCGGTTTAAATGTTTTTACAGTGTTCATTTCGCCTTATAGAGGAATTTTGCAAGAAAACTTTCGGAAAGAGGGCGCTCTTCACTATTTTCAGTGCTGGTGGTCAAACGCAGAAACCATCGGGCCGCATGAAGTATATTTTAGAATAGGTGGTCTCGCCATGATACCACTGGGGATTGAATTATATCGGTTTTTGAATATTAATTTCGATAATCTGACGTTTAAAAGAACGTAAACAAACTCTTATAATAACAAACAATTTTTTGACTAAGGTAAGAAAAAAACGCTCACCTTTTCCTGCTTTTGGTAGGACTATTTTCTCCGGTATTTCTTTATTTACATCTTCACTGTCGATCCTACAAAAACATTTTATTTTACGTTTCCATAATGAGATCAATTTTTCATAAAATTCTATATGAAATAGGTGTTTGTCTAATTAAATATTTCCTTTTTGTCTGTTTATATTTCTTTATATAAATCGGACTTTTTTATTTAAATCGGATTTTTTTGTACTGGGGATTATAGGGTTTATACCACAGACCTGTGGTTTATACGAATAATATGTTGACCCAATTTGTAATGGGTACACATAGACTTCATACTAAATAAGTGTGGTATAATTTAACCCTTTTTTTAAATTTAAATTCAACAGACAAAAACTATTTATCAATAATAATAATAATAATAGTTATTTATTGATTATCATAAATTACAAAAAATACAAGAATTAAAAGGCCATTGACCTAGGTCTTCAGCCACATTTTTTTATACCCATATTTTGTAATTTTAGTGTGTGACGTTAGTGTAAGACTTGCCTAATAAATAAACAAAACAATTTATGACAAGAACAAGTGTCGCCATCTAGACACTATATTAGCATATAAACTCCAAGGTTGGACCAAAATACTTTCTGACCAAGAAAAATAAGAGATTTCTATTAGAAATCATCGTTCGACAGCTTAGCTGCACGGATTTAGTTTTTGGTACTTTAGTACTTAATAAATTTAAAATGCACTACAAGTGGCTTAGCAATAGTTCCTAACAAAGATACCACAGCTACAGTCGACATGAATGTAGATAATCTGGATTATAGTTCCGACAATTTTTTGTCGGGTACTGACTACAAGACACTGATAGGTCGGAGGGGCCAAAATAATTTGACGTTGATTCTGATTTTATACACTGATTTTGAAAAAGTAGGTCTTATGTGAATTTTAAATGCTGCCTATTTTGTTCTTATAATAAAAAAACTATTTTAAATGTTTTTGTTTTAATAGATACTCAAGTACCTATGTTTATTTTAAAAGCAAGAATTTATATTGTTTGTATCTAAAACTTTCTAAATTTTTCTGCTTCAAGTTTATTTTTTTCTTTTTTAAAGAATCTGTATTAAAGAAAAACAATGTTCCTGAAAAAAAATTTGGAAAAAAATAAATCACTTTGGTTTCTTTTCCAAAAAATATTTAAAAAAAATTAACATTCACTAGGTCTAATAAGACAGGAACAAGGCCAGTTCTAATAATAATAATGCTCACCCTGATTCATCATATTGAATTCCATGATATTCCACCTTGATTTTTGTCCCAAACATGGCTTTATCCTCATTATTTTCTTCATTGTGTAACAAATTTGTATCATCTTCAGTAAAGTCACTGTCCCATCCTTCTTCCTTAATATTGCAAGAGAAATCTTCACTTTCATCTCCATTACCAGAATTGTCACTTTCTTCATCACTATCGTTGATTTTAGATCTAAAATTATGGATGAGTATTTTTAAACATCTTTGTGGCAAATACAGATTTTGAAGTGCCAAGCCAAGAAAATGAATTAATACATATTCCAGGTGAATTCGAATTCGCCATTTTGAAATTCATCGGAATTTTAATCTGTATGTAATTACAATTTTTTTTATTTATATTAGTTCGACGTAAAATAAATAACCTATAACCATATATATAACTATATAGATAAAGAAAAAGTACCAAATTTAACACTTTTTAATATTAGTACGTATGTTGCCATTTAAAAAAAATATGTATCCCCTCTCCTGTAACTTTTTAAATAACAAAGGTAGATTTTTTTTAAACAATTTTCTAAGATTCCTGGGGGTCCATAGGTCATATGAGTACATATGAGGACCCTAGAAACCAACGGGACCCCTTGAAGGGGTACAAGTACATTTTGTTTAGTTTTGAAATACCTAATCATGTTTAAATTTAAAAAAAACACATGTAAGTTTAAGTCAAATTTTTTTGTTTTTTTATGACTTTGTTTTTAGAATTTAGTTATATCCATTGGATGCCAAGTACAATGTACCATTTACTACATTTTATCTACTCCTATTGCATAATTTTGGGGTTTTTCCGTGAATATTGTTTAACATTATAAAATTCCTGCCTAAAAACGTAAATAATAAACTTATTATTTACGTTGTTAGGCATCAGTGATTGGCCGATTTCAATATTCACTGTGATTTGAACCAATCCGGTTTTAAATTGGAAGAAGGCGACTATAATAACATTTAAAATTGGTAAAAAGTGAGGTTAACCATTTGACAAATGTCAAATTTTATTTATTTAATTGGAGTAGAAAAAGTATAGTATTACACTCGAGTTTATGCGAAATATTCACTCGAAGGTGACCAACGTTGGTAGTACCAACTTGGTACCTTCCTGGTTTCTGCTAATGTGTTCTGGTTTTAATTGTGTACTGGTTTTGTCCTAGTTTTGCAGATTTGGTCCTGGTTTATACTTTTTTTTTATTAATGACGTTATGAGCAATTTTTTTTTAAAAGTGGTGTTGGCTCATGTTAAAAAATAATTTAAAAATCTAAATTTCTAAAATCTAAAAGTAATAAAAACCTCGTTTGAAAAAAAAATTATAAAAATTAAAAAAGTGAGAAAAGGTCATAATTGTTTAGTACCTACTTTAATTTTTTTAAAAAGTGGTCCGTGGTCAGGCTAAAAATTGTTCTATATCACTTTTATATATGGAATGACATTTATATATGGAATGACATATATTCCATAAAGTGTTACAGAATAAAATAGTCTTTCTTAGGATGACGGAATAGCATATACTTACCACACATATACCGCTTATTGCCTATATTTTGAATAGATGACCTTGTTCCCGTTTTTAAGGGGAGGGTGGCTACTCTCTACCTTTTGCGCACGGTCAGTTCAAAAGTGGGAGATTAAAAAATCAATAATGTTTGTTGGTTATGAATAAATACAAATGTCAGTTTAGGAATTTAGATTATTTTGGAAAAATATTAAAAAACAAGTTTAAACATCCGAAAAGTGGCATAAAATCATTACTTTGTCAGAAAAATCACAAAATAGAGAGGATAATAATATGACTTTAATTGTGTTTATTTATTCTTTTGGCATACAAAAATTGGGATATTTGTAAGAGTTTTTAAACCTATCCATCTAAGGCATAGATAAAAGGTTCTAGGATTTAAGTGCGAAATATAGGGTTGGTTACATTAGTGCTGTTGTAGTGTTTTAAAAAGTAAACTAAGATGGTTGATTATAAGCTTCTCGCTTGGGTAATAAAATGCGACGTAGCCAAATTTCTAATGCTAAACAACATTTTTATAAAATTAAAAAAATATTACTTATTTTTATTATTAAAACTTAAAAACATCATTAATATAATTTTTTATAAATTTTGCGATATAACATAATTTATAAGCTTTATAATAACGAAAATTATATTAGAATATAATTACATCTGACAACACGGCCCCACGCATGTGCAAAACTGCATAAGTAGCTAGCTCCTACTTTAACCCCACGAAAAGGAAACAGCCTGAATCCAAAATGATCTGTATATGTGTGGTAAGTATATGCGGAATAGACACTGGTGGCGATATCTCTGTTTTTAACAACTAACAAATTTTAGACCGATCCAACCTCACTTTCTCCCAATTAAATTATTTTTCTATGGTATTTTTTGAAAACGTAGAAAAAGTATAGTCTGAAACACGTTTGGAATTACATATTCCGCTCTCGTGAAAATTTTTCACTCGAGCGGAATATGCCGTATTCCAAACTTGTTAGAGAATATACTATTATAAATCTGATTTTTTTTAATTTGTTCTAATTTTTTAAAGTGGCCGAGGCTCAGGTTAAAAATTAATATACAAATCTAAATTTTTAGAAGTACCTAGGATAGTAAAAAATTAAGAAAAAACCTCGTTTGATTCCCAATTTTTTAGGATTTGGGAGTAACTTCGGGATATTTTTTTTATTATTGACGTTATTAGCACATCTTTTTTTCAAATAATAAATATTAAATAAAATAAATTTTGGTTATTTTTTGGAAGATCGAGAAGGAACATGCACAATTGTGTCCTGGTTTTTTATTTTAGAAAGTTGGTCACCTTACATAAACCTTATCCTCGTGAATAATAGCCTGCATTATCTCTCGTATAATAGTATACTAGTTTTGTACATAACTACTATTTTTTTAATGTTGGTTGTATGCCTTGCAAGGCATACAACCAACCCAAGCTTGGGTTGTAGGACTCCTCATATACTTTAAGGTGGTGCGCGACTTCTGGGACACCCTGTATTTTATAATATTCACTAGTAATTACTATTAATACCACAAGAGGTTAAATTAGCGAGAACAAATTTGATTGAATTTAACCTCGCGCGGTATTCGGTAAGAAAATTTCACACCAAATTGTTTTTAAAATAAAATTATTTTAAAATTAAATTTCTTGACTTGACTGACTAATAATGCCTATTTTTTTTCCTTGACAAGACACCACCATGATTTCTGCTTATTGTAGTTGCACGGAAATAACATTTTAAGACTTAACATATGTAACATTTAGTACATTTTTTAAATTCACATAAACTTGAGTGGTAGAAAATTGCTGTTTTGGAATAATTGCTTTTAAATTAATTAAAATTTAAGTACTTGGTGGAAAAATGGTAAATAAAAGGGTGTCTAAATATTACATATTATACATATGTATATTTTATTAGACAATTGACTGAATTTCAAGTCCAGTATTAATTAAATTGAAATGTATCAAAATTAAATAAAGAAATTAAAACTAATATTGTATACAATATTTAATTAATACTGGTCTTGAAATTCATTCAATTGTCTGTACATGTAAAAAAAGATTATTCAGTGATTATGTGAAAAAAATCCAATTTAATTTGCTGTTGATTACCTACCCAAGCAAAACCAAATTTTACAAAAATACATGTGTTCCCATGGTGACCTGCCAAAAAACCCATTTTGATTGGTTATAAATTCTCCGCCATATTGTACCTATAAACTATTTTTTTAAAGCATTTAATAATTCTGTACTAACTTTGAAATTATCGAGTTTGCGACATTTTGTCAGGTTTGACGTTTGACATAGGATATGTACTATGCTCCACACTTCAAAGTCCCACCACGTGACCACGTACGGAACGCAGTCTTTTGATAAATTGTCATTTAAGACTTTTCAGGTTATGTATCTGTCAAAGTATAGTCAATGCAAGAAATAATATTTATACTGTTACCATTTATGTTTAAGCGTTAAAAGTTTATAAATCTTTATAGTATCACAGTAACAATGGTTGGTTATAAATACTGCATTTAATGAAATTCTAAAGTGTATAGTGCCAAATAAGTAAAATGTTTGTGCATTTGGTTTACATATATCTGGTTTTATCCATTAAATAGTTTTAACTAAACGGCATTTATTAAAAAAATTTAGCTTGTCTATTATGGAATAAGAATATCTGTATCAAAGGTAGGTGAATATATTATAACAAAAAATATCATCTTATTTTGAAATTTTAAGGTTAGAAAAATCTATTTTGATCAAAATAAATAAGTATTTTGGATTATTTGGAAGAGTGTGTTAATATGGTCATATAAATATAGATATACTAAATAATTGTTGAATATGGTTCAAATTATATTAAAGCTTTTATACTCCTAACAACAAAACTTGTGCATACCTCTCAGGATCCCTACTTTAAGTTAGATTATAAGGAAACAAACAATTTTTAGAGATACATGCAATGTAAAAATATTTAATACTCCCATAATAGGTGATTATGTGATTATGTGATTTTTGAAATTTTTAAAAGTTATAATGATTTTTCGATGAAGATAAAATTCAGTTGAAGCTTTATACGTAATTGTATTGACAAAACTTTATGTAGGTATACTTTAAGCTGGATAAGAAAGACTACTACAAGTAAAATATTAGATAGAGTATACTGTGGTTTTATTTAAATTTTAGAATTTATAAGGTTTATATACCTAATGATTGTTCGATGTAGATAAAATTTTGTCGAAGCTTTTATAGGTACTTGTATTGACACTATGTGTATATTAGCTGACAGTGTAAGGAACTTTAAGAAGGTTAGCTATTGAATTTCCAAAAACACTTGTAAAAACAATTTACAGTTACAGTACCTACCTAATGGTTTTATATTTGAGATCTCTCATGGTGTTTATTTCCAAGAGCAAGTTATTTAATTACAGCTTACATTTAGGTAGTTGATAACTAATTTGTTTTCATTGGGCATAAATATTTATTTATTTAAAGTACTTAAAACTTAAATATATTTCAAGATTTTTAAAAGTGTGTTTTATTCCAATTAAACCAACATTATAGGGGTTTATTTTAAAGGAATCCAAAACAACAACTTAAAATGAATAAAATGAATAAAATTGTTTGTTTCCTTATAATCTAACTTAAAGTAGGGATCTCGAGAGGTATGCACAAGTTTTGTTGTTAGGAGTATAAAAGCTTTAATTTAATTTGAACCATATTCAACAATTATTTAGTATATCTATATTTATATGACCATATTAACACACTCTTTCAAATAATCCAAAATACTTGTTTATTCTGATCAAAATAGATTTTTCTAACCTTAAAATTTTAAAATTAGATGATATTTTTTGTTATAATATATTAACCTACCTTTGATACAGATATTCTTATTCCATAATAGAGAAGCTACATTTTTTTAATAAATGCCGTTTAGTTAAAACTATTTTATGGATAAAACTAGATATAATATATTAACATATTATGTAGACCAAATGCACAAAAATTTTACTTATTTGGCACTATACACTTTAGAATTTCATTAAATGCAGTATTTATACTCCTAAACTCTTAAACCAACCATTGTTACTGTGATACTATAAAGATTTATAAACTTTTAACGCTTTTAAGCGTTTAAAAACATAAACGGTAACAGTATAAATATTATTTATTTCATTGACTATACTTTGACAGATACATAACCTGAAAAGCCTTAAATGACAAATTTTCAAAAGACTGCGTTCCGTACCTGGTCACGTGGTGGGACTTTGAAGTGTGGAGCATAGTACATGAATTTATTCTACAGTAACCTGTAAGTATTTTCTTTGCTGATTTTGAGCTAAACGCGATAGATGGAACAACTCTTAATATGTAATTTCAATGTATTTTCATTATTCTACAGCAGTGTATAATAATTTGACTTTTTAAATGTTAACAAATACCTATGAAGTCTTTCCTTTTATACAGGCATATGATTCATAAGCTATGAATGTTATAATATGAAAATTTTGATATGCTTAAAAAAAAGAGAAATATTTGTGATATTCCAAAAAAAATCTAAATTTTGTGAGCAGGCTAAAACTCGCTTGTTGCATTAGATATATAATTATATGTATATCTAATATACAGGGTGACCCAGTGCTCTGTGATCGGTCCATATTTTTTTTGCTATTAAAGATATCGATATGAAATATTTATAGAAAATATGATCCAACTAAACCTATTTTCCAAAATTATTTTGAACCAAATTCCACTTCCGGTTTCACCGGAAGTGACATCAACATTGTTATTTCAAATAGAATACCCTGTATATTTTTTGATTTTTAAATTTAATATGTAATTCCTGATAAAATTTCTATAACATTCCCTATACCTAAACTCAATAGTTTTCGAGTTATTAATTTTTTTCGTAAAAATTTGACAGTTGCGCCTTCAACAAAAATAGCCTATAACTTCTTTGTTATTAGGTGTATTGGTATGCGGTTTGGATTTTTGGAGTCTTGAAACATTGTTTTAAATATCCCGTATAAAACTTTGCCATATTTCTAACCAATTACTTGATAAAAATTAGGGTGAATTTGGCAAACTTTAAAGGTTAATAACTTTCTTATTTTTAATGGAACGCTATGTATATTTTTGCAGAATTCAATTTCTTATAAAATTACCTTTTGATTGGTATAACCATTCCCTATACCTAAAGTTAATAATAACAAAGATATTTCACAATTTTGTAATAATTTAGGTATCAACACACCTGAAAAATCGACAAGCTAGTTATTTTGACGTATCCATGGATACCAATAACAAAAATTGTTTAAAATCTAATTGTTTCAAGTGTGAAATTATCTTTTTGGTAAAAAGGAGTACATATCACATAATCCACCAGTTATTCTAAATAATACAATTCAACGTAATACAGAGAGAAATAATTATTAATAATTTCTTTCGTTGAATTGTATTATTATTTATTCTTATAATAGAAGCACAAAAATCAATTAAATCAGAATCAAAAATTTAATTTACCGAAATACTTTAATTAATAATTATAATAAATGCTCAAATATACGGCCATTCTGCTGAACACACAAAATGTCACAAAGTCTATGTAGAAAAGGTTGCTTCACGCGGGTTAGCATATCCTCGTTAACAGAATTAAATGCATCGGTTATTCGCTGCATCATATCCTCAGCTGTGCTTGGTCGTTCTCTGTAAACTTTTTCCTTTAAATACCCCCAAAGGAAAAAATCAATGGGTGTCAGATCTAGGGAGCAAGCTGGCCAAGCAATAGTTCCTCCTCTTCCTATCCAACGGTTAGCGTAACTCCGATTTAAAAACTGCCGTACGATACGGCTATAATGAACAGGAGCACCATCATGCTGAATCCACATGTTCGGTCTTGTATGCAAGTCTACGTCACGGCCTCCAATAGTACCTCCCCAAACGTTCAATGACCACCTATTTTGGTGATCCATGGTTCTCAGCCAATAAGGGTTATGAGTCGTATAATAGTGCAAATTGTGCCTATTAACAAATCCACTACTCTCGAAAGTAGATTCATCCGAAAATAAAATGCCGTTTAAGAAGTTGCCATTAGCATGCACAATTTCAAGAATTCTATTTGAAAAATCTACTCGATGCCGAAAATCGTCATCATAAAGTTTCTGATGAAGTTCCATATGGTACGGGTGAAATTTATCTATGGTTTAAAATTCACACTGCTTTGCGATAGACCAGTTTCTCTTATGATCTCCCGAGTACTCAAAAAAGGACTTTCCTCTATCGTCAAAAGAACTTCTAATTCATGGTCTTCATTAATTCTCCGTCCAATCAATTCTTCTTTCTTGTAAGAAATATTACCCGTCAATTCAAATCTATCCCTCAATTTTTGAAATAAATTACTTGGGGCAATCTTGAATCTGGATATTTTTGATGATAAATTCTACTAGCTAGCAGAACATTTCGATCCGCTTCTCCAATACAATAAACCATATTTATCATTTCTTGTCGCGTAAAATCCATTTTAACTAAACAAATACTGGAAAAAGTGAAACAATTAGATTTTAAACAATTTTTGTTATTGGTATCCATGGATACGTCAAAATAAGTCGCTTGTCGATTTCTCAGGTTTGTTGATACCTAAATTATTACAAAATTGTGAAATATCTTTGTTATTATTAACTTTAGGTATAGGGAATGGTTATATCAATCAAAAGGGAATTTAATAAGAAATTTAATTCTGAAAAAATATACATAGCGTTCCATTAAAAATAAGAAAGTTATTATCATTTAAAGTTTGTCAAATTCACCCTAATTTTTATCAAGTAATTAGTTAGAAATATGAAAAAGTTTGATACGGGATATTTAAAACAATGTTTCAACATTCCAAAAATCCAAACCGCATACCAATAGACCTAATAACAAAGAAGTTATAGGCTATTTTTGTTGAAGGCGCAACTGTCAAATTTTTACGAAAAAAATTAATAACTCGAAAACTATTGAGTTTAGGTATAGGAAATGTTATGGAAATTTTATCAGGAATTACATATGAAATTTAAAAATTAAAAAATATACAGGGTATTCCATTTGAAATAACATTGTCGATGTCACTTCCGGTGAAACCGGAAGTGGATATTTGTTCAAAATAATTTTGAAAAATAGCTTTAGTTGGATCATATTTTCTATAAAAATTTCATATCGATATCTTTAATAGCAAAAAAAATATGCACCGATCACAGAGCACTGGGTCACCCTGTATATATATATATATTGATAGCTCAATAAGTTAAAGTGTTGCCCAGTGTGTAAAACAGCAAATATTGCTTCAGTCTCTTTTTATTGTACTGTTCGGTACTGTTCTGCAATTGGTTGTGTCAACTCTTGGGCATGCTCATAAGTGCCATAAAACTGAACGGTTGCGCTTTTGCCCTTCTCCCATATTCAACTAGCATTGCTATTCCAGTAATATAGGAGTATACTCCCCCTACTATGGAGAAAGGCAGTAACTTCTAAATGAGAAATTTGTGGAAAATTAGCATAAACTATAGTTACATTTTTCTAAAACAGCAGTAGGTATTTAATTCATTTTTTAAAATTATAAGAGTTAACTGCATTTCTGAGTTGAATTAAGATACAAAATGTCCATAGCTTTACCATAGCATAAGAAAACACATTTTGCATTGTGTTGGTGATAATGCAATAAATGGCAGCAATGCTTACCCTGAGTCAAGAAACATTTTGTCTTTGCCTTTGAATTTTGGTTGGACTTGCTTGGATCCATGTAAATCATTTTCTTTATCTGTTGACACTTCTGATTCTTTTTTCACCCCTGATTCATCATAGATCATGAAGTTGTGGCTATCATTTAATTCTTCTTTGATTTCTTGTTTTATTGCTATCCCAGAGGTTAAAGGGCCAGCGGATGTACTTGGTGTACTGTAATTTATTGAAATGCCATCTTCGGAATCGTCGAATGGTTCTTCAGGTTCTTTTTTAACGAATATTTCCTCCATTGTGTACATATGTTTAATAATCAAAGAATAGTTGTATTAACTCTAAAATACTTTGGCAAGTTGTAAACTCTCAAATGACAAATTAAACGCATATTTACTTACCTAGAATCAAGGTCCTTGAGGAAAATAAGGAACTAAAGAAATTAAGCTGGGAATTAAAGTAGTTTCGCCTAACTTGCAGGAAATGGGATCCAAAGGCCAATCAAGTTTGTATTTGAAGGCGTCAATATTGCATAATATATCTTTCACATATGAATATTACTTTAAATCCAATATTCGAACAAATAAAGAAGTTTTGTATTCAAATAAATAAACCATATATTATATAATCATAAAATAAACAGTATTTTGATAAGTGACAGAAAAATCCCTAAAATATCCCTAGAAATATCACCGCACTGCGAACCAAAGAACATCATGTTCTTCTGTTTACAAATTCTATTTTCCAAATGTCTGTAGTTAGACCTCTAAAAGACAGATGACGCTACAAACAGTAGAAGAAATATCGCTGGTCCATGTTTAGTTAATACAAACCTATAATAGATGGCGCTTTTTTGGGGCTGTATGTTAATACCGCCTTCTATGATGTAAGGGTACATATTTATTTAAAATGTTCTAAAAAGAATTTTGTAAAAATTGATATGATAAAAACAACTCAACCTTTACCGATGCATTTTCCAATAAAAACATATCCAATTTAAAATGTATCTTATTTAAAATGTTCTATCATTAGTGCACTTCTACCATTTTAAAGTGCACTTCAATTATTTTAAAGTTCAAATGTATCTAATTTAAATTTAATTAAAAAATCCTTTAAAATTTGCAATGCAAAAATATTAAGTGTAGATTATGTTGAATTATACCTAAGATATTTTTTTATGCATCAAATTTAAAACCGCCATTTTATTAACGAGTTTTATTGGCCACGAGCGAAGCTTGCGAGCGAGTGTTTAATAAAAACGAGTGTCTAGAGAAGTTTATAAAACAAGTTGCATATCATACTTTATCCACGACGAACACAAAGAAGAATTTAAAGCTAATTTTATTTGTTAAATATTTGACATCCGTCTACTCTTCACGAATTTAACCTCACTTTGCCATAATTTATAATAAAACTAACTTTAGCCCGTGACTAAAACACCATAAAGTCACAGCTCGTCAATGTAGAAAATATATATAGTATATTATGTATCAAGTTTGATAAACGCCATTTTAGTCACGAATTTAATTAAATGAGTGCCTAGGAAAGTTTATACGAGTTGCATACTATACTTTTTCTACGACAAAAACTTAATATTATCTAAAAAATGGTTTAAATTAAATATTTTGATAAAGCGACATATATACGAAAATAAAGTAGCCATCCCAATAAACATTGTTGAGGTACATTTTACCATTAACATTGCCGTTATTATTTTAATTAAACTTAACAATTATTGATACTTTAAAATATTAAAATAACTTCAAAATTTGATTATGTTAAGAAAATATTTTATTCTTTAATTTTTTTTTATTACTATAATTGCAATTCCAATAAATACAACTGTCACTGTTTGTACCTTTAACATTTCCCGTGTAAAAAATTTTAATACTTTGTGATAATGGAAATGTTAAAGGTACAAAAAGTAACAGTTGTATTTATTGGAATTCCCGTTAGAATCTACCGGCGTTAAAATCTTAAATTTTTCTGTGTAAATTAAAATTTATCCCTTAAAAATAGACTAACAATCGATATAGAAGCAGTTTTCACAGTAAAAATATTTTTAACGCTTTATCAGTTAAATCTAGTTAACTGCACTACTAGGAAGAAATCAAAAGGTCAGTACAAATTGTATGACATTTGACAACTGTCAATCAACTTAAAACTAACTTCAGTCCGTAACTAAAAACCTGTTGCTAACTTCAGCCCGTGACTAAAGCGCCGTAAAGCCACAACTTGTCAATGTGTATTTAAAAGGTCACTTAGTGTCATGGAAACATGTACGATAAAGGGTGGGAGTAGAAAAAATCCTTAATATCCCTGAAAAATAGTATTGAGATAGGTATTGTTTGTTTGTAAAATAAAACAATTTTGTTTATTATTTTTTATATTTGCTATTCCATTAAGTATAATACGTCACACATACATTTGTCATACATCAATTTTTTATTTAAATAAAACAACAAATTGCAAACAGAACGTCTTTCTAAAAAACACGAAATTTATCTCCTAAAATTGTTTTTACAAATTTTTATTTAAATTTAATAATAATGCCTCGAAAACTCACAGTTATTTTTCCATCTAAAACTAGTAGGTAGGTTCAAATTTACAATTTTTTATTTAATAATAATAATTAAATAATTATTTTGGGGTCGATCTTTTTATAATGAATTTTTTACAAATATAATTTCATCGAATAGTTTAAGCAAATCGACCGCCAAAAATTTGATTTATATAAAAAATTTACATTTTTTTGAAAATTGCAATTTTCCAACAATGTTCATTCGCACATAATTCATTCGTTCAATTTCTGCAGAATTGCTAACAGTAGGAACTTAAAGTAACTAAAAAAGCATAAATAATTAATAAAAATAAAATGGCAGTCCGAAATTTAAAAAAAATGGCAAAATATAACTACAAATAAAACCTTAAAACTAAAATATATCATTTTTTATTTTCCAAAAATGTTTTGGAAAAATTATAAGTTAGTAAAAAATATATAAAAAAATCATTATAAAATATTTTTAGTTTAGTTAACATTATATAAATTTTTAAAAACGTATACATTTTACAACTTCAATAATAAATAGTAAAAAACAAAATATAAAAAACTGCAGGCATATTTTGCAGACAATTTTAAATTAAATGAGCATGCTTCAAAATTTTTAAAAAAATTAAAAAATTTGCTTGAAAATCATTGCAGTGGACTCGAAAAATAAATATTTGGTTGGCCATGACTAAAACGTCCGCTGCAAAAATTTTACCATTTTAAAATAATTTAGCAGATTTTCCGGCAAATTTTTTAACATTTTATGTAGGAATTACACCATATTAGCTTTAAAGCCTTAAAATTAATGTAACTATATTTTAAAACAGTTAAAACATTGAAAAATACATACTTATCAATATTAGCCACCCACAAAACCAATAAGTGGAAATTTGCAGCAAATAATACATAAAAGATATAACCGAAAAATATTTTTCATTATTTATAATTAATGAATAAAACAATTATAAACAAAATTAAAGCATAACATATGCCAAAACAATATTTTTCGTTGTTATATGCACAATTCCCACTCTTTGATTCCAAGCTACCTTAAACTTCAATTGGTGATATTTTGACGAATAAAAAAAATAACAAAAACTGTATATATTATTTTACTTTACTATTGTAACTACCAATTTTAACAATAAACATTTATATCTAGGTGCAGTATATGGCAAAATGAATCAAAATATCACCTCAAAAACATATAATGTCGAAATTTCGATGACCTCGTGGTGGTATATATTTAACTTTATATGGGTTTTATAGAGTTTTTAATGAAAATTATAATGGTAAAAACCGCGTTTTATAAACTCCCGTGGTTATCGAGATATTTAGGATTCACCATGGCGATACGTTCTTTATATCTAGGAATCCAAAAGACAATCCGAAATTCGGTTTTCACCACCCCTTTTACAATTTCCAAACCTTTTATCAAGATAATTTTTTCATAATTTAAACAAAATTTTGAAGTCCCATATAAAGTTTGTAGAATCCGAAATAGTTATTTAAAGTAACTTTTTAGCGGCTAAATCATTTAAAACAAATAAACTTAACTGTGGAAACTAACATTTATTATATTTAATATAGTTAAATGTGGTTTTTTCAAAAGAATTTTTAGTACCTGAATGTAGTAATTTCGTTTTATTTTGTTTGTAACATGGAAGCCAAAATTTGCATGTTTTTTCCCAAGAGTGACTTTTTTATATATTATATAATATCCCTCCAGTAACAAATACGCCTTATATAATATTTATAGGTGATCTATAAAACATTTATAAAGCCTAAATTGTCACCAAAGCTGTGTTTAAGTGTTGTATTGAAAAATTAGATTAAAATCCACGATATTTTTATAATTTTGGTTATAAGTTGAACAAAATTTAAATTAATGTAAATTCCAAAATATTTTTGTATTATTAAATAAAAGTGTATTATTTTTGAATAAATGTGTAAATGTGTAGAAGATTTTGTAATTTTTTAAATATTATATTGTAAAATAAATGAAAAGTAACTTAATTTTTGAAAAATTTACCTTCATTGTTTTAATTTTATCACCAAATTGTTAAAACAGCTAATAATTTTGATTTTAACATTCTTCTTCTTGACCTTTTTAGCTGTTTAATTACCAAAATATATTTTTAAAATGACAACCATGGTGATTACTTTAAAGATCGTGTATTTTCACCATGTTGAAGGTTAAACTTTTCAAAAAAAAGTTACATACGAAAATCCAACTAAAGTGTGGTTATATCGAAATTTTTTGTATAGTGCTTAAACGACGAGTGTCAAGTAAACACGTTTTGACTATTGTATTTTAACGAAAATTTTAACTTGTCCCCGTTTAACACCAACTATCCCCTGTAAAGTGCAGTTTTTGACATTTTTTTGCTCTATTTCATTACATAAAGCCTATTTATTACATATTAAGTATTAATATTATTATTATTATTAAGTTACATTATGTATGAGGGTTAAGCCTTATTTCTATTGTTTAATTAACATTAAAGTAAAATTTTTCACCCAAAAATTTGACATGCACTTATTTGAATTTACTGTAGATCGAAATGTTGCGGGGTTTCAAGGATTCCACACTTATATACAGTTAGTCTACTATTATTTTTAACACTTAGGGATTGCTATAAAAATTGTAAGGATAATAATGATAAAAACCGTGTTTAATTATCTTTTTTAGTTTCCGAGTTATTTAGAATTTTAAAAGTTATCACAATGGCGATTACTTTGAAAAAACTATATATCTTGCGGTGCAATAAATTTTTAAATACGGTCTTCACCATCGTATATCTCGCTTAATTTCCCATTTAGGTAGTAGCCAAATTGTTGTAAATGTAAAATTTTGGATTTGGTGATGTTTTTGAAAAAAACATCGTTGGGGTGTAACAAGGGAGTTACTTAGCATCTATAGCACTTTTTTTGGGCCTGCACTTTACTTGGTGATTAGTTTTGTTGGACAGGGATTAAAAAATGGAACAGAAACTTTAACAAAGTTCGGTTTTAACGATATAAAAAGTGCGCTGTAGCGTTTTAAATAACACGACGGCACATTTTGTGTATATGGGCTATTGCAAATAAAAAATTTCGGTTTTTTGGTAATTTTACAATAAATATGTGAAGTCTAATCGGGCATTCTCGACTTTGATATTTATGTAAAATACGTTGAAAACTCATGAAAGCGATTTTTAAAACGCATCACCAAATCGTCGATTGGTGCGTTATTTTAAAATCCGGGTTCACTATGGAATGAGAAAAAAGTTTGAACTGTTCAATTATTGTTTTTGAAAATAAAATCGCTCAAACGGAATTTCGCGGTACAAATTTTAAAAAACAATATTTGATTTTATTTGGGCTATTGCTATGAAATTTTTATCGAGTGTCCGATCACCAATTTTGTCATTCTGGCGATCGAACAAGTGGGCAAAATATTTTGAGAAGCGTCTGACGCTTAACCGGGCTATCTTGACTTTTGTTTGTGTATTTTATATTTTATGTCACAGTCGGTATTTGAGGTTATTGTTGTAGCCTCAAAGGGCTACAAATCGTCGCAATTGGGTGAAATGCAAGCATAAAAGTCGACATTATTATGCCCGGTAATAAAACACTCAACATTTTAAAACACTAAGAATTTTGCACACCCTATAACTCCGTCATATGGATTTTTTTTAAATGGCAACATTAATCAACTCTTTTAATTTTTAACTACAAATAATCCAGTGAAAATCGCGATATATCGTCGATTTTTAAGCCCATCACCTATATGACAACTTTAAAAAACTCCAATAACTCTCTAAACAATAAAGATATAAAAATTTTCACCAAATTAACCTCGTTAAAAATTGATCGTAGGGTTGCAAAATTCTTACCACTTTATTAACGCCTAAATCTGTTTTTATAAATTTTGTGATTGTTGAGAGTTTACCAAAATAACTTTTATGCGTCAGCATTATTAAATATTTTACGCATGGCGTAAAATATGTCCTATCAAGTCACTTTTAAGGGAATTGTGGGGCCTTCATAAAGGCTGGCTATTGTTTTAAATATACTATTGTAAACTATGACTATTGTATTAAATGGAAAACTATATACGGAGTTACCGAATAAAATACAACACGTTTCGTTGAGAACGAAGTGTGGTGTATGCTCTCACTGTCCCATCTCTGAGATACTTAAGGTTTTTTGTTGATACCTTTGGTGATTGGTAAAACATAATTTTGATGAATATTTTTTTACGTAGATTGTTATGGTAAAATCCGCATTTAAATATCCTTATTATTTCGTGGGATATAACGATTTTTCAAAGTAATCACCTTGGTGACTGTTTTGAAAATCGGCTATATGTCGGGAACTATTGGATATATTTAAATGAGATTTTCACTATAAATTATAGAATGGGTTTTTAGATTTTTTAAAGTTATCAACAAAAAAATAAATGTATTTTAGAGATGGGACAGCCGGTTTATTGGAACTTTAGTTTATTGGGGGGTTGCATTATTATGTACAGGCTGTAAAAAATTATGTACAGTAAAACCACATTGTTTTGGAAATGGCCGAATTGTTGGTCGAATAGTGTAATATTAAGTACGTTTTTTGTTTGCGTAAAATTTGTTTATATTGAGAAATAGTGTGTTTTAAATAAAAAAATCTTTTTTTCTCTCTCTTGTATAGCACGCTTCATTCACTCTATAAAATATTAGCAATTATAAGTTTGTACTTCGTAAAATATAATAATAATTATAATAGTAAAAAAAGTTTTTTTTAATCACAGATTTTTAAATTGCAAATCATCATATTGTTTATTATTGCTAGTATTGTTTTATACAAAAACCAATAATCACAGAAAAAAAAATAAAAATAAAAATTTTGTTTAATAAATTGCAAATATTTCTTTAAAGTTCACCCATACAAAACAATTATATTATTATTTACAATCCTATATCTATATAAGTAAATTTATACCTCTGTTTTAGGTATTTTTAACACTTATGTAACTATACATTTTCAATAATTTTTGTAGTAAACACTTTTAAAGTGTATTTATTTAATTTATTAATATATGACATTGCCATATCAAAAAAAATATTATACTGAACACAAAATTCATTAATTCAATTTAAAGCAGTCGAAAAAAATGATTTGGCACAAAAACCGACTTTGAAATATAATAAAATGCTTCAAGATCGGCAAAAATAAAATTCGTATTTTATATTTTGTACTCTTGTAACCTTAACATTATAACTTTATCACCTTGCCGCTGATTTTTCACCAATGGTGATCAATTTCAAAATGGACAAATTTTGTTATACCTCAAGTCGCTTTTTATAACAAAATCAGCGGCATTGGTGATTCGAAAAAAAACTTAAGCATTTGGTGTTTTTTGTGTTCAGTAATAGTTAAATTCTCACGGTTGTTGCTGTTGCTGCTGTTGGCTGGCTAAGGAAAAGCCCAGCGATCTCGGATCGCTACCATGAAGCCTCAATGCTTGCTCTAACCTTTGCTCTTGAAGCCTTAAGGCTTCGGTCAAATCGGGGCTCAATTGTTGCGAGGACTGCCCTTGGTGACCCTGATAATTACCTGAAAAAAAATATTTTTTTTAAGTTTTGCTATTTTGTACATCCCAAAAATACGCCATCTTGTTCCTTGATAAAGCCATTTTGTTTTTGTATTGACAGGATTAATCAATTTAACCACATTTTAAAAATGCATAATACGCTATCTAGTCCAGTTTTCAAGATATCGTCGATTTTTAAACCCATCACCTAGGTGACAACTTTAAAAAACTCCGATAAATCTCCAACCAATATGTACCTATATCAAAATGTAGTTTTTACCATCCTGAATCTTGTTAAATTTGCTGTTATAAAAAAACGTTACAAAATTCTAACCCCCTTTTGGCAAAAAAACTGCTTTTTTTAGGTTTTATTCGGGACTGCGGTTAAAACCGGCTAAAACGGTTTAAACATTGGCAAATTATAATTAATCGGTGGAACAATTAATATAATCAATTACAAAAATAAAAATGTAGGAACGTATATTTTCGAATTTTTCATTTATAATAATTATTGATAAATTAAGAAAAAGACTTGGATTCAGTTTTGTTTAAATTATAACCTACATTCTGTTTAGGTGTGCCTAAAATGCCTGTTACAAAATCATCTTTTTTACGCAAAAAGGTACAACTTGTAAATTTGTACTTCAAATAAATATTTAAAAATATATATTTAAAAACATAAAATTTTAAAAAACAATTAGGACAATTTCTAAATTTGTAGCGTCTCTTTAATATATTTTTTTAATCTAACCTAATTTAAAAAAAATACATTTTTAAATCAAAATTAAATGGGTGCACTAAACAATTTAAATGCAAATATCTCGAAAACGGTTACTGGCAGCGACCTTTAGAAAGTATACCATTTTCACGTAAGATAAAATTAAAAACGTTAATACACTAAGGCACAAAAATATGTGACTATTTAAACGTATGCAAACAGCGCCCTCTACAACCTACATTAATAAATAAAATTTTATGCAAAAACGTTTATTTTTTCCAAAGTTATTTAATAAAATCGAAAACAAACTTTTAACTTTGGTTGTTGTCAACTTTTGAAATTATACGACATATTGCTAAGACCAAAATAATATTATATACAAAAATCTGACATCTGGTAGACAGTTCCAACCTCACTTTTTCCCAATGTAAAACCCGATTGGTTGGCACGTGCCAAGGGGGGCAAATTCATACTAATTTTTTTATAAAAACATACCTACATCTCAAAAAATTTATAAAAATAGAATATAGAATATAACAACGAGTGTGTATGTATTGAACGACCGAAACACGATTTTCAGCCTAAACCGAATATTCGGCTCCTCTTTTAGTTTTAGTCCATTTAAAATTTAAAACAGTTAAAATTTCGATATACCACCTTAAAATCTAGTTTTCATCCAAAATAACGATTATATCATTAATAATAATAATAACATTAACACAACTAAAATAACGATTATAATCGTTTACAAACGTCAGGGGTTTCGGGCAATTTCCCTAAGCGAATCACGGCGCCGATGGGGCGGCAAAATACCTAGAGCCGGCCCTGCCTACTAGGTACCAATAACGAAATGTTTTTATTTTTTTGTTTAAACAATAAAATTTATGATTTTTATTAGTTTAAGTTTTGACCGGTTTAAATCAAAACTTAGTTGTTTAAACCATGCCAATCCCTGTTTTTACACATATTTCTTGGTTAATAAACGGTTAATTTTGAAAAATAACATCGAAAATATAGCAAAATCTTGTCCACCATTACTTTAACGATATTTTTAGTCAAAATGTATAGACAATCTACCATTTTAAAACATATCACCTTGGTGAATACTTTGAAAAACCCCTGTATCTGTCAAACCACTGGAAATATTATAACGCGGTTTTAATCAAGATTAAATCGACGTCAAGTAATATCAAATTTATTTTTGTAAAAAAATCTAAAATCTTACCGTTGTGACGCAAAGGGCTATGGCTGTTCTCCTGCTGGTTCAACTGGGGTAAAGCCTGGCTCATCGCAAGTCTTAGCGCGGTTTCTGCTTGAGATCTAATCAGAGCTTCTGCGTGCTGCATTCTGAAGGCTTCCTGTTGCTGCTGGCTTTGCTGAGATGACGTCATATCCATGACGGAGTTGCGTATGACGTCCATCGACGTCATCGAGTCCATGCGGGCTCGCATCGCGTTCATAGCGTTGACAGATAGCGACGACAGCGCGTCGTTTGATATGGGCGGTGTGGATGGGTTGCTCGAATTGTTTACTTGGTTGGCCTGAAAAATAAATATGTTAATTTGTAGATTTTTTTATTTTATTTATGATTATGAAAAACGCAATTCGATATCTATAAGCGTTCCTGAGATATGGAGGTTTTTCAAAGTAGTCACCTTGGCGATACGTTTGAAAAAGTTAAATATCTCTGTTTTTAATATATATACAGAAGTGCGGTTTTCAACATTTAAATCGTTGTAAAATTCTCTACCTGTGAGACACCAAGTCGCATGGCTAGGTTGGCGATATTGGCGATATTAGCGGCTGCGGACGGGTCTGAACCTAAACCAGGCGGGATACCGCCTTGTCCGACCATGTTAGCAATGGCTGCCATACGTCCGTGGAATTGATCTTCAACACTATATTGTTGGTGTAAGCCGTTGTTGCCTGAAAATAAATCACCATTAAAATAAGCTCTTTTATTCACCAATAAAATTTTTTACTTTATTACGAGTAGTACAAATAAAACTCACTTCTTAAGATATCACCTAATTTAGTATTACAGTTGTTATTGTTGTTATTCAAGCCTCCAGCCTCTGACCCTGCAGATGAAAGTCTTCCGTTACCGGACGAGCTGTCGCTATGAGCGCTTGGTGATGCGCACATTGGGCTTCCACTCGCTATAAAAAAATGTTGTGTTATAGTATTTTGTATGTTAAATATTAAAATGAAAACTTCATTTAAATATCTCTTAAATATAAACGATTTAAAATTAGTCACCATGGTGACTAATTTAAAGACTGCTTGTATCTCGAAAATTAGATGGAAAATTTAGGTGCGGTTTTCACCGGTGGTATGTAAGTAAAATGTTTTTTTTGGTGACTTACTTGTGCCCATTCCAGCCAATCCTAGTAGTCCACTGCCTGAGGCAGTCGATAAAGCACCCAAAATGTTGTCTCGTTCTCTTTTCTCGGCAGCTGCGCGCGATAAAACGTATTGTGCAGCGAATTGATGCTTGGGATCCATTCTCATGTGCTCCATGTGGGTTAAAAGTCCTAAAAACACATTTTGATTAAATATTGATGACAAATATAGGTTTTTGAATTGTATTTTCATAAATTTCGAAAAACGATAGACTACATAAAAATGCACACAAATAAAAATAAAAAAATCATAAAACAACAAAAAAGACAAAAACAACATATAAGTCAAATAATATTCCCTTCTTTGGGTCCACATTTAAAAACATGGGGAATTTATTTAATAATTTTGTTCGTCACTTGTCAGTTTTAGTGTCATACCTCGGGTAATTATGAATCTAGCAGCTTTTTTACTCATTGAATCTCGTTTAAATTTAAGATTGTGGACTGAAGAGAATATTATTTGACAGAAAAATAAACAAAAAAGAAAGGCTTGTAAAAACGTTTCGACGATCACCAAGGTACAGGGTTCCAAATTATAGAATAGTGAAAGTCGCAATTTTAATATCTGTATTAGTTCTTGAGATATAAGCAATTTTGAAAGTAATCACCAAGGTGATTATTTTGAAAATGGGCTGTATCTCGGGAATTGGTAGAGATATTTGAGTGCGGTGTTCACCCGGTTGTTCGAGATTGTTTTACGGATACCCTGATGACGAAACGTTGTAAAACTACTAAAATATTGTCATTTTGTTGTGGACTTTTTTTTATTGGTATATTTTGATTGTACCTGATTCATGAGTAAATACCGCCTGACACACTGAACAAGGCCACATTCTTAGGCTGCTAGATAGCTGCGACGTTTCCGGATGGCAGGCCAGGTGTTTTCTGAGTGAGCCCTCGTTCACGTAGTGCTTGCCGCACACCGGACATGGATGATTGGCCGTCCTACGTTTCGCTAAATACGGGTCGATTACGTCAACAACAAAAGAGAAAATATCGTTCAAGCAAAGCTCCCCAGGGTTATCTGATTTTTTTTAATGTTAATCACTAGATTACGTTCGAAAAGCGTACCTTGACACCTCAAAAACGTTACAGAAATAAGATCCACCTTTAAACGCGATTTTTCGAGTTTTAACCGGTTATGACCGGATTTTAACCGGTTATGACCGGATTTTAACCGGTCAATATGACCGGTTAACCTTGTTAACTACTCCATGAACGGAAGTAGAACAAGAAACAAAATTTCGCGATTTTAACCGGATAATTTTCGTTATTGACCGGTTTTTCCAATCATAACGTTATCGGTTGTTCCAATGTAATTTTGGGTTTTATCCGGTAAACACGGCTAATTGTTACTTTGACAAATAATTTTGTTAAATAATATAACGGTTATAACTTATAACCAATGAAATTCTTTTAAACGGTTAATTTGGTTAAAATACTTCAATCATGTCAATTGTAAATCTATTGTCTTTTAAACGGTTAAGTTTGTTAAAATAGCAACGAAATTTGTTAAAAAATCTTTCCCTTTAACAATAATTACTATAAAAAATTTAAAAAAATCTTGTTGGGCCGTTATAACAAATCTTTAAACGGTTAATCTTGTTAACAAAAATTGTTTAATTATGGCAAAAACCATAACTTAACGATAATTACTGTCAAAATAATAAGAAAATATTGTAAAACCACGCTTGTCATCAAATTTTGCTAAAATCACGGTTATATCATCCAAAAATTCCGGTTAAACGCGTTAAAAACGTAAAACGACAAGTTTTAGTTTGTTATACCGAGTTAAACTTGCCATTTTTCGATCTTATTTCGTATAATACCAATTTAATTACTACTAGCTAATAAAAAAACAATTCTACACCACTATTAAAATATAAATAAGACGGATAAGTAATGTTAAAAAGCGCATTCAGTAGTAATAAAAATACGATGCAAAATAATAATAATAATAATTTAAGGGGGGGTTCACCCTGCCTTTAAAGCATAATAAATAAATAATAATTCTAATAATAATAATAATAAATAATATTAGTAAAATAAATAGGGTTAGGCTACTAGTATTAGTAAAGAAAGGTTCTTGTTTTTCGTCAATAGCTTTTAAGTTGATCTATTGTGAACTTAATGAAACCAAAAGGGGGGAAATTATTCTTTTTATCGAAAATGTAGCTTTACATTTTTAAGTGGAACATGACGTTATGATTAATCGGTTATAAAAAGGTTACTTTTTTGTGAACAAACAAAGATTCTCTGGGCTAATTTAAGTTTTCTTTTCTTTTGTTTACGATTTTTCATTAGACGACTTCAAAGAAATTCTGTTTTTATATAATCGACTTAAATTTTCTTTACAAAAGCACAAAAATTACACAAGAACCAATAATTGTAACATAAACACATTTAGTATAATAAACCCACTACATGTCTAAAAACAAGCAATTTCGTTGAAAAAAAAATCGAAAAATATGATATAAACTCCTCCATACACGAAAAATAAAGCACTTAAAGCATCCCACACACGATTTCCCCAAAAGATCATATTTTTCGATTTTTTCCAGAAAACCACCAAATTTCGTGTACTTACTGGCAACGCCGCTTGCATTGGGGTCCTTGTGGGTGTGCTTCATGTGTTCCATCAGGGCTTCCCCGCCCAAAAACATTTTATGACACAGTGGACACGAGGTGGCGTTCGGTCCGCCAATCAGAGCTGCATGTTGCTGCAAACGACCAATACACTGTTGACAAAATTGGCGCGTTAATTTCAACAAATTCTACATCAAACCAATAAGCAAGGGACTTAGAAAATTGAGAGATAAAAATACGCATTCTACGCGAAATTTCCTTTAAAATGGTATATTATATGTTAAATTTTGTTGTGAAATAACGGAGATATCGACGAAAAACGATTTTGGTGAACGTTGGTGACAATTTTGAAACAGCGTTGTATTTTGGTTTTCTTTAAAGATAGATATGGTATGTTACGTGTCTAATAAAAGATTAAAATTTAAATAAATATATAATTTCTAAACATTTTATAATATTTAGATAAAAAAAAAATGATTGTTATCGTAAAAAAACGATTTAGTTTTAGAAAGCGTAGTTTCTTTCGTAAAAACCTCATATCTCCTTTGATTTTTGTACAAAATAGGTCACGTTGGTATTTTGAAGGAAATTAAATTTTCGAAATAACTAAAACATATTTTTTATCTCTTTTTGTACAATTATAGGGGGTTATATTCTGAAAAATCAACAGGGTTAGTTAGTGTTATTGACGCATTAAAATTGGTTTGATATGAATTTTGTAAAAACCTTTGAAATATTTGTTTTCTCAATTACCTTTTTAAATAAATTGTCACAGATTTCTATCACACAATCGTCTTAAATTAGGGCGTAATTTTTTCACCTTGTCGCGATTAAGAATAAGCGTAATTAAAAACAAAGTTATAAGGTGGGAAATGCTTTTTTATCTTTTTAAGTTGAGGAAAAATAAATTCTCCCCCGTGGTAATTAGGAAAGTGTTTTAAATTAATTCTGGTTGTGTTTGTAAGATTTTACGGTGTTTATTTTTGTTGGGCGGTAAATTCCGGTTTAAATAATGTCGTAGTTGTGTTAAATGGTGGCTAAATAATCGATATAATAAAATTGGTCACGTTGGTCATGCACATTGGTTAAAATGCTGTAAAATGATTGTTTTTTGACCAAAGTTGACCAAGTTTGGTATCAAATTAAAGGTAATTAAAATCTGTACACAAATTCTTAAAAAATATACAGGGTATATATATTGATAGGGGTATGAAAAGCTTGTTTTTATATAAATTCTTTAAATAACAATTGCTGTTTTAGCATGGGATTCGTGGTAATACATGAATGTAATGTGAAAAACTTAATAAATAAAACATAAACAAGCTAAAACGTTGCAAGGTATTCGAAAAAATGTTGAATAAACGACTTAATAGCGATAGAATAGACATTTTTAAGAAAATATGTAATGATTTAAAAAAAATAAAACCGGTAATATTACAGAGAGGTATTAAGAATTTTTACTCAAAAAAGTTGTAAGGTTTTAATCGTTATTGTATAATAAGTATTTAATAAAGCTTAAAGAAAGGGGTAACAGAAAAAAGGGGATGAATTCTTTATTCTTTTATAAAGAATGAGTCATTGAAAATATAGGTCATTTTAACCCTTTTTTTAGACCGACACTATAATCATTAGTTTTAATCTAACTAGACATTGTAGTGGAAAAATAAATAAATAATAAAATATATTGATTTTAACACAATAAGTGTTTTTTTAGGCTTTCTGTATAAACATTTAAACAAAGGAAAATATCTATAATGTCCGGCTAAGCAAATGACATTTAATTATAAATTTGGTTATTTTCTATAAAACTGTTATTTTTAGTTTGTATAGCAACAAACAAACACTAGACTATGTTTTTACAATTAATACAAAAAACACATTGTAAACTTGCAATTATCTATATAATTTATAACCTTGTAATAATTTTTTAAGATAAAAATTTCCTGTTTTTAATGCACTATCTATATTTAGCCCTAAAGGTCCTTTATATGACTCAGAACATAATAGTGCATTACATATCGGGTGATGTAAGGCGGCGATTTCTGAAGGTTGTGAAGTTTGCTGCACTAGCGAAGCGAGTACGAGTGCACACTCTAGAAATCACCGCCTGATATTTACAATATTTTTCATGACAAGCGTAACGGAAACTCAACTTTCGCTGTCTTTAATATTTACGCGTTTAAACAAAAATTCTTAATACTTAAATAAGTTAACTACTCTCTAAAAATGAATCAAAGTCAAAAATGACTAATTACTACAGTTATTAGTGGCTGCTTTTTCACTTGTACCATGGTATCAAAAAATTTAACAGCCATTCTTATCTAAAATTGTCCCCTGAATCCGAAAATACCGTCAAAACTTATGAAAGTAGAGCAGTTTTTGAGATATAGTCAATTCCATTTTAAATGGAAAATTGACTATATCTCAAAACCTGTTCTACTTTTTTTAACATTTTCGGATTCAGGGGACAATTTTACATAAGAATTGGCTGTTAAATTTTGGGACACCATGGTATCCCATGGTTAACCATGGTACAAGTAAAAAAGCAACCACTAATAACTGTAGTAATGAGTAATTTTTGACTAATTCATTTTTAGAAAGTAAGTCTTCTGCTTTCCCCAGAAATCCGCCATTTTCACATCCCTCAAAAGTCAGTAAAAGCCGAATTATATTTATAGATTGATAGAAATTTAAAACCGTTTAAATTAATATATCACATTAAAAACAACACAGTAAATCAAAAAAAGTTCATTTAAAGGAAATAAAATTTTCCATAACACTAAAAAATAAAAATTACATTTTTATTTTTCTTTGTACTAAATTAAATATAGCATGTTAAGTAGACTTCAGAATTAAATAATTCATACTTAAATTGAAAAATTCGTGAATATCACAATACCACAAGTTTTTAAATTATTTTCAGGAAAAACTTTTGTGGGAATCTGCACCTGCTCAAACTGAGTAAAAATAAAATAAAGATTCTCTAATTATAGTTTTGCCGGAGAAATCGTACCTAATGGTCATCGCGCAATAATTTTTTAATGAGTTTTCCTTACAAATAATTCATAAAAGTGAAAAACCAATCACCCTGTAAAATCTGCATCAACGCCTTACAGTATGTGAGTCAGCAACCAGTTTTGTGCGCCAGACGAAGATAGCGATACTCGTATATTCTCTTTTGAACAGAATAAAAAATATAGTTCATTCACTTGATATTTATTGTAACCTTCCTAACCTATCTTAATTTATTTGCGCGCCAGAGTCGGACTCCAGTTGCACATTTACATACAATTTTATAGTGTAACATTCTTTTAAATGATGTGTTACATATTATGATTGTTATGTAAAATTAGGCGAGAAAATGAGGAACATATTTGGTTTAGTAGGTTGTGGTTTTATTAAAAAACGCCATATCTTTTTTGTTTTTTGAGGAAAATAGGTAATGTGGGGTTTTAAATGAAAGGAAATTTAATTTTCTACATGAATTTGATAAAATGAATCAAAAGAATTAAAGACACTTAAAATTAGGTACTACAACCTAAAATTACCTTAAAACTAAGCTAGATATCGTAAAAAAAAACTATCTTGGTGTGCCATGGAATATGAAAAAAACGGTCTTAGTTCATGTGACCCCTTAAATAAAATTGAACTTTAGAAGAGAATTATAAATGCTCTAAAATGACGCATTACCAGTGGTAATTTACCACATAAAAAAATAAATTATTTACATTAAAAATATCGATAAAAAAAAACAAATTGGTGTGCTATGGAAAAATTAAAAACCGTCATAATTTCTTTGTTCTTTAACCGAATAGGTTAGGTGTGACCCATAAAATAAAAAAATAATTTAATTCTAAACTTATTTATAATGATACCTCTCGCATATCTTTATGTAAAAGGGAGTTGGTTTAATAAAATATGGTAAATATGGTGATGTGGCCACTCAAATGAAAAAAAAATAACCTACGTATATTTTGATAAAATTAATCGAAAAATGCTTTAAAATGACGCATTACCACATATATTTACATGAAAAATTACTACGTTGTCGTTCAAAAACAAAATCAAATTGGTGTGGCATGGAAAAATGAAAAACCGTGATAGTTTATTTGTCCTTTAACCGAATAGGGTCATGTGACCCATCAAATAAAAAAGAATTTAATTCTAAAGTTATTTATAATGATACATCTCGCATATCTTTATGTATAAGGGAGTTGGTTTAATAAAAAAAACGCTAAATGTATGTTTGCCACCGGAACAAACCACACATTGGTCTAAAACGAGGGTGTAGACGATTTTTTTGCCGGATCCCCTTCCGCAACGGAACGAAGCGGAAGTGGGCGTAGCGTACGGTTTGAAAAATCGCGTGTTCGACGGCGAAAAAATGGGAAAAAATTTACCATTTGTGTGTGTGCAATTACATGGGAGGAGTGTTTTAATGCGGTGGCGAACAAATAAGCGAAGAGATGAAAAAAAACGATAAAATATTATATGAGAAACACGGGTATTGTTAAGTAACAATCAAGATTAAGCCCTACTTGAAAATGGGGATTTGTGCTCGAAATAATTTACTATTGGTGGAAAAAATATTGTCACTATAATTAGTGATTCTTTTTTAAACCTCCCATATCCTATACTAATAACATATATTTGTAATAATGCATCGTTGTATGATTTTACACAGAAACAATTAAAAAATTAATTAGTACTTCATCATAGCGATCCATGAAATTCTTAAAAAGACTTGTTTATTGTTTAAGATATTGTATGTGGGTACTCATTTTGTAGGAAATTAAATTTTGTGAAAGTTTGAAACCAAGTAAAATTTTGAAAACATTTTTTAGAATTTTTGATAATTTTAAGAAAGAGCGCAAATCTCTATTTTAAATAATGCATAACATGCACGATTTAACTCCAAAACAAGTGAATAATTAACGTTTTAACATTTCATCGTAGATACCCATGGAACTGTTTAAAATCGCCGTAACTTTGTTAATTTTTCACATAAATACACCGTGTAACATATCAAATGAATTGTTTTTAAATTTATATAATAATCTATAACAATATATTTTTATTATTAAAGAAATATATTAATTATTCGGTTTATAAATCGATAAACGATTGCGGGCTATAATCCGGTTTAAAAAGTGCAAAATTTTTAACCCTTTGCGCGATCCCCGTTACCCCTTTTTACGAAAGGTCTCACTTTTTATTTAATCCTTTAATTCGTCGAGAAAGTCTAAAAATGGCCTATAAATTTAAATTTAATCTTGAAATTAATTCCGAAAGAAAACACAAGATATTTAGACCGAGATTAGCGCCCAATTTTTCAATTAAAACCGTACACCTGATCCTTCTAAAAACTCTCCTTTTTATCCTTTAATCGTTTTTCTTGAGATACATTTTTCCTTTATTATTTTACATTCAATTTGATAAAAATAAATGCCTTAAAAAATTTTATTATACTATCCATAATCATTTTTTTATCTACTAGTCACGGGCTGAAGTTAGAAACAATGGCTTTTAAGCTTTTTATTCACGTGCTAAAGTAAGCTTTATTAAATAGGGAAAAGTGTGGTTAAATCCGGGAAAAAGTTGACAGATGTCAACTTTTTAACAAATAAAATTGGCTTTAAATTCTGTTTTGTGTTCGTCGTAGATAAAGTATAGTATGCAACACGTTTATAAACTTCTATAGAATATAGACACTCGTTTTTTATTATTTAATAAGATTTGTTTAATTTTAATTCAAATAGGATACAAATACTTTAAATTGATGTTGTACCCAATTAACTTGTTATATAAAAAACGTTTATCTCCACGCGGTCTATAATTTAAACTTTATTGTTGTCAACATTCGATAAAGAAATACCTTGTTATGGCCTAGGCCGATAAAAATTTTTATGAGGCAAGTAATTAGTTCGATTTTTTCTCGCTAGGGGTATTGTTTTGACAAATTAATCCTTTTCTAAGAAATTAACGTACTAAACTGGTTTAATTTATTTATAATAAGCACTAATTTGTTTGTTTTACTGTTATAACATTATAATGTTTAATATTTTTCATTAAATTATTGTAAAATTAAATATGAATAATAAAATAAAAAGTGAGGTTAGGACATTGCAATTTGACGTTTCACAGTTGTGTTTTCTTTTTCTACGATTTAAATTATCTTTAAATTTTAATTTGCTTTAAGTTTTCAGTAAAATTAAATGTTAAACACAGCGTAAACATTCCAAACTACCTATTTTTTAATAAAAATGCAAACAAATTGAAATTAGATACCTATTAGGTTCCTATTTATTAAACAATTAATTGAATTCAATGTAATAGCAAGAGGGTAAGTAAACCATTTTCTTACAAAAATCCATTTCTACTTAAATCATGTAGCTAGGTATTGCAAACTATTACTGCTTCTAAAAGGAATAATAATTATTGTACATTTAATGTAATCTTTAGCTAATAAATAAATGAGATTAAAAAAAGTGAGGTTATGCCACTTTCATGTTGAATTAAATTGACCTATATAAAGTGCTTTGAAGATAAAATGTTGTATGCCATTCGGCCAAGAAGTGTCTTTTTGTGCTTCGCTCAATTGTAGGCCTCCGCTACGCGTCGGCCTTCAAACTTTGAGCTTAGCACAAAAAGCCTTACTTCTTAACCTAATGACATAAATAACTATTTTAATCAAAGGTCCCATGAAAATTTGTTTTTCGCTCACAGCTTTCTCAATATTTGTTAAAAATATAGTTTGTGGGGTATAAAACTAAATAAAATTTCATAATCTACAAAAAATATTTGGACAATTTTTACTATTTTATTTTTGTAATTTTATATAATTGCTTTTTATTATTTAACATTTAATTTTTGTCTCTCACGAAATAATCTAATTACTTTAGCCGTAGCTGAAAAAGGGACAATTACTTAGTGTCCAAATTGTGTATGAAATAAAACGGGTACGCGATCATAACATAAATATAAAATACGAAGAACTACTATACGGTTAGAGAAAAAGATGCGTGAACAAAAGACATTAAAAAACAATCGCATGACTCGAACCGATTGAACCCCTTACGTAATTCTAACCGATCCCCCACCCCTGCACGCCCCTGAACCGCCAACGTCAAAGGGCGAATACGCGATTCTAAGGGGAACAAAAAATTTTGTTTAGTAATTTTAAGTAAAAAATCCCCAAAAATCCTTTAAAATGATGTATTACACGTTAATTGTCGATTATAAATAAACGAGTAATCAAAGAAAAACGTTTTCATCTAGTTAGCCATGATTTTGTGTAAAAACGTCATATCTCGCTTGTTTTTAAAGGTAAATGTGGCATGTCATATGTCAAATAAAAGGAAATTTAATTCTCTTTAAGTTTTGAAAAAGTTTTTTTAAATTTTTTTGTAGTAGTTTGATGGAGTACAAAATTCTCGATAAAATTATGTAAAATTTGTTAGATTTTGGTTACAATTGGGCTTGTAATAATAAAATAAAAGATTTAGTCCAAGTAAGCCATGAAATTTTTAAATATCCTCATGTTGGTAGTAATTTTAAAGGATTTTTAATTTTCTGCGCGTTGTCGTTAAAATATTGTAAATTAAAATAGTGATATTTTTTTGGTGCATGTAATGCCCCTTAATGGTTCTGCACATGCACATTTTCTTGCATTCGTACGTTCGGCTTTGTCGGTGGTTGAATATAAAAGAGAGAAAGAAGGAAACGCGTAAGAAGAGTCGGGAAAATTTATACGGAAACGGCGCATGTAGTGTGCTGTGGGTAGAAGAAGAAGAGTTTTATCGTGTTTTTCAGTTGTAATTCATGTTGTTCATTGTGTTTTGGGCCCGAGGAAAAATAGGTTTTATTAATAATTTATAACTGGCTATATAAATAAATATGGTTTGGAACGCAGCCAAACTGCTCTACATGCATTCATTTCTTTTGTTCTTTTTACTATATTTTACTTTTAATTATGACAACTGTATAGAGAAGAAGCATTGATTTTTTCACAACAAAATTTCCTACTTATTTATAGAGTCGTTTGCATTAATTTTAAAACGTAGAATCTGTGACAAATTTGTTATTTTTGCTAATAACTACAAGACTAGACAAGACAGTGTACATCGATAAAATAAACTGAAAATAAAACAATATTAAATCATAATTTAAAATTATAATAAATCACTTTGTGTAAACCATAATAACTGTAAAATAAACATAAATTAAGGCTTAAAATAAACAATAAGGAAGTTTTAAGGCATAAAAAATGCCTCAAAACTAATATTAATAAAAAATAAAATAAAAAAAAACTTGTGTAATACATACATGGCTTACTTTTGATGTATGTGTTCTAAGACTGCTTTCTGTAGCAAAACCTTTTCCACATATGTTGCAATGAAAAGGACGATTCTTAGCCCTTTCCACTTGCGCATCGTGATTCCTCAAATGCTGCTGCAAATTTGACAGCTGGATAAAGGCCCTACCGCACTCCGGTAGATGGCATTTGTAGGGACGTTCGCCTAAAAATAAATAATTTGAATAAGTTTTAATGACATATTTTTGCGGCGTAAAAAATCGTTTAAAATGATGTATCACTTTTAAAAATCGCGTTGGAAATAAGCAAGTTATTGAGGTATATGTGTTTTATCATAGGGTGCTTTGGAAATGTGTTCTTTATCATAGCTTGCTTATTTTTCATGTTAGATATAGGTTGTGGGGTATCAAACTATGGGAAATTTTATTCTCTACAAAACAGATTCAAGGTAATTTTACGATTTTTTTTTTAATTTTGTTTTTTTTTCTTAAATAGCTTCAAAGGGGGTTTAAAATGATGTATCATTTATTAAAATTGGTAAATAAAAGGCTTTTTATGTCAAAAAACGTTTTTTATCGTAGGGTGCCATGGAAATTGTTATTTGTTCATAGCACGCTTGGTTTTAAACAAAATATAGGTTGTGGGGTATGGAACTAAGAAAATTTGTATAATCTACCAAAAAGATTTTTACAAGAGCATAAAAAAAACTTAAATTGATGTATCATAAGTAATATTTAAACATTTAAACAATTCAAAAAATGTTTTCAAGTACCTAGCTATCCATGACTTTTTGCCCACAACTCACTTGTTTATCAACCAAAATATATCGTATAGGGTATCAAATCACAGGGATTTTGACGGTCTACAAGATAAAATCAACATAATTAGTATACACGTGTTCTAACGAATTTTTTAAGTACCCTGCTATTAGCGAATTTGAATCAGATAAATAAAACTTAACGACCGTCTAATAGAGTGTGAATATGGGTTAAAATCAGTGATACCACATGCCGAATAATGATATGGTTTTAATAAAGCAGTTTTTTGGGTTGAGTCGAATAAGGCAGGTGGTACTGGACGTGGAAACAATGAAAATAAGACGGTATGGGGCAACTTTCGTGGGTGGGTAAGTCAAGTACAGAAAATAATTATTCTTATTTACCAACTGTTCTTGTACACTGTGTTTTTTGTTTTATTGGGATTAAATTAATGTTTTTAGTTAGGGGCATCTGCCTTTGTACTACCTAGTTGATGTATATTTATTGATTTTTTTTTAAATTGTTCTAATTGTAGCTTTGACCACATTGAGCATTTTTTGTAGTTGTAATTGATAAACAGTTTTTTGAGGTAGTAATTTGTTAATTAGTTTGTGGTTGTCTGCAAACAAAATTCTTTTAATAAAAAAATATCATTTTAAAGACAAAGGAAATGAAGGGTTAAATTAAAAAGTTTTTCTTGCAATTCGAGACCAAATTGAACGTGAAATTCTTTTAAGATTTTTAATATGAAACGTATCAAAGAATTGGGAATTCTTCTTTTTTAATAAAACCTTTCTCTTTTAATAAAACTTATCGATTATAACGGAGTGGTCAAATTTAGTGCTTCATCCTTAATTTTTACTTTATGTAAAACAATAATAAAAACAAGGGGGGTTTAAAAGTTATACACTGTTAAACATTTTATAAAGACATAAAAATAATGTGTTGATGTCCCTACTTAAGGAAGTTTAAAAAAATCCTTTTTATCTGACTCTCTATCTAAAAGCGGTTGAACCCTTTCTTATTAAAAGGAAGCTAATAAATTTTGGGGAAATCGACGTTACACTTAATGACCCGAACCCGTAAAAAACACCCTTGTTTGTAAATACTAACCATATCTATGCAAATTCAAACAAATTAGACATATTTATAGGTTTTAAGCTTTAAAAAATTACGCGTCCGGAAAGAATGTCGATTTATAGAAGACTGGTATAAGTCATCGCGATGTGGTGTTGTTTTTAGGAAATAGCAAGGTTTTCTCGGTAAACCCTAGATTTTTTGTTTTAATCATGTTAAAAATGTGTTATTTATTATACACCAATAAAGTTTTGTCAAAAAAAATTGTTTGTTTTTAAAGTATTATTATAATTTGTATGAAATTTTTAGGTTAGGTATATAAAAAAAGTATATTAAAAAAAAAATCCAAATTTTGGTAACTCATATCGACATAAAAATTACATATTTCTGGAAAATTGTATAATGTACAGGGTGTTTCCTTATAAATGGGACATCCCTATAAAATCTTTTTAAGAGATATCGAAAAAATTTAAAATCCAGCTTTCATGGTAAAAAAATAATATTTTTGACAAAAATTTAAAAACAAAATGCATCTGTAAATTTAATAAAATAGCATTGACATTGTTTTTTTCAAAGAAACACCCTGCATATTTTTGAATATTTAAATAGAGTTTTTTGTTCTGGTTTTAAAAATATATAATTTGTATATATTTGTGTTAAGTCTTTTATTAATAACTGACGCGAAAATTAGGCAAAATTTAACGCGAGAATCATGGTTGCCATGGATAAAGAACTTTTACCCTAAAATAAGCATGGCGTTTGGAACAATAATTAGCGTTTTTTTAATAAAAATTAATAATAAAAACATAAAAACAGTTCTTTATCCATGGCAACTATGATTTTTACGTTAAAACAATTTTTTAAATTAAGTACTTTATTAAAGCATGCAAGGTAGACTTTTTTATTTTTTAATATCTCTTCAAATAAAGATTTCAGAGGAGTCTCCCATTTATACGAAAACACCCTGTACATAAAGTTTTTTATGAATTTTAAAAATAACATATTTTTGTTGGTGGTATACCCTAAAATTTTAATTTTTTTATATATTTTTTTAAGAAGCTTTGTAGGTACCTGTATAACTTTTTATCTGTTCCTATTTTAATTAAAATTGTAATACACAAGATTTTTGAATAGTATATTATGTATCAAGTTTGATAAACGCCATTTAAGTCACGAATTTAATTTGGGCACGAGCGAGCTTGCGAGCGAGTGCTTAATTAAATGAGTGCTTACTACACTTTTTCTACGACAAATACTTAATATTATCTAAAAAATTACTTAATTAAATATTTGTATAAAGCGAAATTTATACGAAAATAAAGTAACAATTCCAATAAACATTTTTGACTTAATTTTCACCAACAACATTAATTAAACTTAACAATTATTGGTACTAAAATATTAAAATAACTTTACAATATGATTATGTAAAGAAAATATTCGATCCTTTGACCATAATTGCAAAATATTATCACCAAGTAATAAAAATTCTTACACGGGAAATGTTAAAGGGACAAAAAGTGACAGTTATTGGAATTCCCGCTAGAATTTTTAACTTGGGAATCTACCGGCATTAAAATCCCAAATTTTTCTGTGTAAATCAAAATTTATCCCTTGAAAATAGACTAACAATCGATATAGAAAGAAGCAGTTTTTCACAGTAAAACAGAAGAGAATGTTTATCGGCACTACACGCTACATTTTTAACGCTTTATCAGTTAAATCTAGTTAACTGCACTACTAGGGCGAAATCAAAAGGTCAGTACAAAAGATCATATAATCTTTTCAAATATTGGCGTCAAGAAACTATTTAATACTTTCATATTTTTGTATCGAGATAATAAAACAATTTTCACATTTAGTATTATTTTACAAGAAAGGCACTTTATTTTAACGATTGTATGACATTTGACAACTGTCAACCAACTTTAAACTAACTTCAGCCTGTGACTAAAGCGCTATAAAGCCACAACTTGTCAATGTGTATTTAAAAGGTCACTTAGGGTCATGGAAACATGTACGATAATGGGCGTTTAAAGGTGGGAGTAGAAAAAATTTGTTTTGTGTCTTATGTTATTTTTCCGAAATTCCACATTTTACATAGTGTAAAATCAAAAAAATACTTGTCATCAAATATTGTGGTTTCTAAAAAAATGCGTAGGTGATTGAAACATGTTTAATAATTTGGAAAGAGCATTCTTTTGCTAGTAAACCTTGTGAATTTTATTAAAATCAATTTAAAAATGTGTCTTTTACAGTTTTGTATTTTTTTTTAACAAATTGTTAACTTCAAACCTCTATAACTACCATTTATTTTTGGATCATTATATTTATTTTAGGCTATATATAAATAAAGTATGGTTTTTACAAAAATGCATTCCTTCTTTCTGTGACTTGTGTTGTTTTTCAGAAAACTACCGTAACGTAAAATTTGAACACCTAAAAAGCTTAATAATATGTTACAAGGGTACCCCTTCATTATAATTCCCGGTTAAATTGTTTTACCAAAATTTCCGTATAATAACTTAATCATTATAATTACTGGTCGTCTTAAAAAAACAATTGAAGTTAGGTCGGACATATGCCGCAATTTTAAACGGTTACTGTTAGGGACTTTCACTTTTTTTATTTTTTTTTCACTTTACCGGCATATGTTAAACGGAACATTTTACCCTTTATACCCACTTGATTTTTTTATTACACTCCAACGAAGCCAGGACTTATTTATTGTATTCCTATGCAATTTACATATAAACACTATTTATGCTTATTTGTTTTATATGTAGAAGGGTTCTTGTAGATGTAGATTGTAGATTACGTGTATATATATCCGGTAAACACCAAGATCACTACTCTTACATGTCCATGAATTAATTATTTGGCGTTTAACACGTTCTACCTTTTATTATAAAGGCATTACATTACCATTTTATTACGTATACGCAGTTTTATGGGATTTCCGCAAAAACCACATAAGTCAGGAAAAAAGTGAATACAGTTTTATGAAGAACATACTTTATTTAGTACACCCTATAATTATAATAATCCGATTATAATTGTAAAAGTTATAAGGGACTCAAGTTAACCATTGGTTAAAAAAAATTTACAAAAATTTTAAAGCCTTCTAAGAGGCACATTTTTAAATCGATTTTAATTCAATTTAGAGGGTTTACCAACAAAAATATAGTCTTTACAAAAAAAATACTAACAGTTTTTATGTCATTTACGCGGTTTTCCCAGAAATCACATCTTTTGACGACATGTATTTTTAATTTTTATTTTTCACCACATTATAAAATGTAGAGTTCCAGAAAAACAACAAAAGTCTTAATAAATATTTTCCCGCCATTTAAAAGGGTACATTTCATTTATCAAATTCGTTAAAATCGTTTTAACAGTTAAAAAGTTACAACACATTTTGTGTCTTCAATTTTTATTCGAGCATATCAATCAATACTCGATATGCATATGTTAATTTCAAAACATAATTACGTAAAATTTGTTATGCCCTAACAATAGAAAAATTGTTAGGTAATTCATTTAGTTTTTTTGTTATACTATTGACCCTAAACAGATGGTTACATATCCCGGTGTTTTTATTAAACTGACCATATGAGTGTACAAAAAATACTACTCCATAAAAAATTAAAGGATTAGCAACTGGCTTTCATTTAAAAATAAAAAACAAAATAAAACAATAACAACTGAAGCATACAATTCAATTGGTTTCAATAATTTTTTTACCGAAAATATTTTTGTTCGAAATAGAATAAATAAAATAAACAATTGTATTAAATTCCAGGACTATATTAATAAAATGTTTTAATGGGAAATTGCCGCATATTAGTTTTGTTCGTAAAAATAAAATAAATTGCTCGAGTTTTAAAATCCCTTTAAAATCAGGTGCTCTTTTTTTAATTCCGATCAAAAATAACCAAGATACACAAAAAATTATAATTTTGTAAGGTTGGCTATGGAAATGTTTTTTTGTGTTTAAATATGTGGTTTTTCTAAGAAAATATGGGTTGTTGGATGTCATTTTAGAGGGAATTTTGAAATTCTATAAAGTTTTAATTTTTTTTTATGAAACTTGATTTTAAAATTTTGTCAATATTATTTTAAGAACCCATTTTATTGATGTATAATTTGCATTAGGGTTGCCATGAAAAAATGTTTTTCCTTCATAACTCCGTTGTTTTCTATGTTAAATATATGTTGTTACACATCCAGTTAGAGGAAAATAAATTTTTCATTCATTGGTATTCATTACAACCCTTGTTATTTGAAAACCCACAACTAAGCGGTTTATAAAACAAATAATATAATTTTTATTAATAAATAAATTTTGCAAAATGGCGTAGGCCTCGTGAATTTTGTATCCGGGCTGAACGCACTGTGGAGGGGTTAAAAAGGGGGGAACTGCATAGTGCTGCACATGCACACATGGGGTGGTTTCCCCCCCTAGAACGCTATGTATGTATGTAGAGAGTAGGCGGTTCTATGTATAAATGGAACAAAATTTTGAGGGACTTTGTGAAAATCATGATCTTTAGTACACATTAATTTTACCCTACGAGGTTATTTGTTATTTTATTGAGGGGTTGACATTTTGAACTATTATTTTATGAAAAACATACGACATACTCAAAAAAAACTTTAAAATAAAGTACCTACCAACTTAAATTATTTAGAAATTTGTCACTGTATTTTTGATCATTTAAAATCTAAGAACCTTGAAATTCTAAATTAAACGTCTTTGTTTCCTTATAAAAACACATTTCAACAAACTTTAGCATTTAAAGAGCCTTATTATAGACACCATAAAAGCAATAACATTCAAAACCCAAAAGTCAACATATATACTATATATATACTAGATTTCGTATACGAAATCTAGCGTCCAAAATGCATCCCAGAGCCTAATTTTAACAAAATTTACTCAACGTCGTTTTCAACGTATGTATATGTATATCTGTTTCAATCAAATACGTGCGCTTTATGGATTTTATAGGCCCAGGCAAACATACATACATGCATTTATATATAATATATATATATGCACATACACATAACTTTTTAATTTGCAGACCAAATGGCTTTTTGTCGAATACCGCGGGGTAAAAATTCCATGAAAATGCCATCGAAAAGTACAGTTGCACAAAATCAATGCGATGGTGTGAGTTCAATCAATACCACCGTCGGTATTTTAGGCGGTATAGAAATGTGTTTATTACCAGTTAGAGGGAAATAAAAAATCCGTTTGTTTGATATGCAACATCGTATATTTTCGATAAAAAATATGGGAGTTATTACCAAAAAACTAAATTCCATGGATTACTGAGGTAAATAGTTTAATTTGGTTTATGAGCGTAATTTTTGGGTCAATTATAGTTACTTATATATTTTTGTAGGGAGAATTTAAAGATTTACTAAGTTATTACAGTTATTTTCAATAAAAATCAATTTGAAAAAATATTCGCTTTAACCCTATAGGGTAGAAAATTTAATTTTGTATATATACAAAATTAAATTTTCTTTGCAACGAACCCCCACAACACATATTAAAAACAAAAATCAACCGAGATATTCAACAAAAACACTTTTTCACAGCTACTACAAAAACTTGCTTTGCTTATTTGCTAATTTTAAGGTTAATTATAGTAATTTATATATTTTCTTGAAGAGAATTTAATTACCTACTGCAAAAATTTTTAATCCACAAATATTAACATAAAAAAATATTTGATGCCCTTGCTTTTATCTATGTGGAAAACAAAATATCCTTCTACCATAAAAATTTATTTTCTTATTTCCCACTTTATCTTTAAGGTAAACATAACACGCGGTACATCATTTTAATTGAAATTTTACAATTTTAAGAATACGATGAACCAGATTTTATTCATCCAACAGACAAAAATCGATAAAAAAAAGTTCTGAAAGGGTTAAAAAATGGGGTAATAGGACTATATAAGTCTTCTATTAAAGGGCGAACTTTTCAAGAAGGGTTCGCATGATTTTTTAATAATGACCATCTACGCGTACTGAATGAATAATTGTTTTCGTAATTTTTAAGCGTTTTTTCGTCGTTATATATTCATAGAACGTAGTTCGGGGAAATTATCGGAAAATCTAGACAAATTGTTCATAAAAACTCTAATGGACATTTTCCAGATAATTTAAATTGACGATCAGCTTTTAGGTATATTAAAAGAAAAAGTAAACTTTTTTGTAAAATTATATACAAGACAAGGAATTTAAATTTTTAATAAGTTTTCTTTTGACATTCCAGCTTGTAATTAAAGGACAATAACAGCTAGTAAAATTGAATATTAATTGCATCAAAATAGGTTAAAATAGGAAGCTTTGCGGTGAATGTTAACCAAAAACAATCATTGCAAAATAACAAAATTATCCACAAAACCAAAACCGCTTGATTTGCGATTGAAAATGTCATTTTAACCCTAAAATTAAGTGATTTTTCCACATTTTATCAAGAGATTAAGTGTAAGGCAGACTTAACAATGTTCATTTGGGTCGAAAATTGCCCACTAGATCCTCCCCGATACTGACCTTCCTTAACAACTCTCTCTCTAGATGACTGGAAAATCAATTAATGCCAAACCAGATTAAGGGGAGAAATCAAATATCGAACCTTGTGCGATGTAGCGACAAAATTGTAATAGTAATGTGTGTAAAATTAAATTTCTTGTAAAATGAGTACCTGGTTGATATGCTTATGTTTAAAAATAGGGGAGATATAAGGAAAAAAGCTTTTACAAGGGTTCCTTAGATGAATTGGATTTTTTTATTTGTGATGTTATTTTAGGTTGTGATACATCATTTTAATCAGAAATTAATACTCTACAATAATATTGTACTTTACATACAAAAAATACTAAAATATTATTTTTGTGTTTTTGGATGTAAAATAAGTTTTCCTTTTAAATGAGTGGTCACATGACATATTTATAGAAAAAACAAGTGAGATTTACGCCAAAAACATATTGTCAAAGGCCACTGTGATGGATATAAAAAGAATATATTCCAGGGTTATTATCAAAGTAATCTGGACTTGTAATACATCATTTTAACCGGATTTTAATTCTCTAAAATATCGAAAGATAAAATACTGACTTATGTTGTTTTTGCGAGGATTCTTCCTTTGAGCTAAAAAAACAAAGTAATGAAATCGACGGCAGAAGAATGCGTTTTATAAAAAGGAAAATATTTAATTTGCTGCCCGTTTAATAAAACAGATTAGATGAGAAGTGTATTTAAAATCAATTTAACGAATTGGGGTGGGTTTTTTTTGTTGCGTTTTTTTTGCGCTGAAGGGCTGCTCAGTATTTAATTGAATGCATAAAAAGTATTTTTTGTATGAGGTATTTCATAAGACTTTAAGGGTTGTAAATATGTTTTTTAAATACGTTTGGATTCAATTAATTCGTTAAAAATGTATGTACAGACTTTTATAATTGACCTCAAACTTTTTGTTTGCAAACCTTTTTTTAACCACTTTATTCGGGATTAAAAACTTTACAATGGATTTGCTGAGATTAACTTTTAAATCTGATTTTTATTAAAATTTCCGTAACCCTTTAACATTATTTTTCGACTCACCAGTGTGGAGCCTCGTATGCTGTTGCACGTGACTCAATTGTTTGAATCTTCTGTCGCAGTAGGAACATTTATATGGCTTTTCACCAGTATGAACCCTGATATGTTGAACCAATTGATGATTACTGGAAAAACTCTTCAAACACTGCTGACACTGGTGCGGTTTCACCTCGGAACGTCCTGTTAATTCCCTCGCATGCATCTGCATCGCAGATTTGTGCATGAAAATCTGAAATATTCAAAGTTATGATTACTATCTTGGTTAAGAAGATGTTGTAGTATTTTAAAGTCGTGTATTAATGTGTAAAATCAAATTATCTTTCATTTGATATGCGAGTTGATATCTTCAAAAATAGCGGAGATAAAACAAAAAATTCCATGGCAATGCGCGATGGTTTTGTTTTTATTGCATAACTCGGTTATTTTTTACGCAAAATTAAAAGTGGATTTTAACGCTCTAAAAGAATTTTTTGTCGAAATTTTAAAATATTTTAATTTTGCTAAGGCATTATTTTTGTAGTTTTTTTGTAGTGTTAAACTGTGTAAAATTCAATTTTTTTTTGTGCACAACTTAGTTACTTTTCGAGTAAAACTTAAATGTGGCACAATATTTTAAAGCGAATTAAAGGCGCTATATGATTATGTAAAAATATTTTTTTTTTGTTTTTAATCAATCTAACCTAAGGGTTTCATTGTATAACAGCTGCATTACATGGGTAATTTCTCAGTGTTACACCTACACTACCTTCAATACAAGCAATTATTTCACTTCCGGTTAGGTTAATTTTAAAGTGAAATCGTGTTTGGTTTTTGTTTTTTTATTAAAAACATGATTCGTCGTTTTTTTTTAAATTACATTTTTTAATTGACGATAAATCATGTTACCCGTTCTATTACCTAAATGAAGAAAGTCTTGGAAAAATCTACCCCATTAATATACCGAAGTAAAAAAGCAAAAATAATAATAACAAGTGACTGCAGCGGTCTTTAAATGTCCCGGTTTCTATGATATACGACATTGTGAGGTTTTAGAAATTGCTTTTTTCGCCTACTCTGTTTCTGGACCAGCTGTATAATGTCTTTTTTATCTCTGGGGACCGCGCGCGCGGCGTAGAAGGGTTGAGGAATAAATCTTCGCTGTCCTCGGATTGTTTTCCGAATTATTACGTGCTCTAACAGAGATAATATCAGCCATTAAAACTATTTTTTGTTATTAAATTTCAGTTAAAGAAGTGAGATAGATGTTATTGGATAGAAAATGTAAAATCCTTGGATTTGATGCCCAACATGTAAAAGTCATGGCAATTCTAGATCAAATTTTCTGTTATCGTTTTAGGGTTAATTTGGATTTAAATATGCCATTTGAATGAGAATTTTTGTAGAAAAAAAATTTTGGATCATATGATACCCCACATGCCATATTTTCCACAAAAAACAAACGAGTTATGCATAACGACGTTATTTCATAGCAATCTAGATTGACGAGTTTTTTTTGAATTCCGGCGTTATTGTTGGACTAAATTTGACTTGTGATACATAGTTAGAAAGGTTTTTAAATTATGCATACAATGTACAAATAATTTTTAAGTTTCGCATTAAAAACTCTTTCGATTGCTTTTTAGCAATTATAAAGGAGCACTTTGCAATTAATTTTAATAGATAATCAGATTTTCGGGATTTTTGAGTGCGCCGAAGTTATTTCAAGCACTGGTTTTATTTTAAAATCTTTCTCTGTAACTTTTTACCCTTTTTCGGGACGTATTTCGTGCCCCTCTCATCTTCTCGCAAGTCGCTTTTTAATCACAGTTTAAATTCTTACCTGCTACTCTTCTAATTCGTCATTATTAAAATAATACTACCATTATGATTGCGTCGTTTTTTTTTAGAGTAAACGCCACCCGCCAGCTAAATCCTTTAATTTAAATTTTCGCTGCAATCTTTTTACACTTCTAAATTGCCTTCGCGATCTCTTAAATTAGCAACAGAAGCCTTTATTTTATATTACAAACGTTATAAGAAGAAAAAACCTTAACGAAATTATTAAACTTCTTTAAATTTTTAAAAAATTGTTATTTTTATAGTTTATTATTAAATAAAATTTCATTTTTATTCATATCACCTCATGATGTGTTTCTGACAAAAAAATGAGATATGACCATTTTTTATAAGATGAAAAAACCTTAACGAAATTATTAAACTTCTTTAAATTTTTGGAAAATTGTTATTTTTATAGTTTATTATTAAATAAAATTTCATTTTTATTCATATCACCTCATGATGTGTTTCTGACAAAAAAATGAGATATGACCATTTTTTATAAGATGAAAAAACCTTAACGAAATTATTAAACTTCTTTAAATTTTTAGAAAATTGTTATTTTTATAGTTTATTATTAAATAAAATTTAATTTTTATTCATATCACCTCATGATGTGTTTCGGACAAAAAAAATGAGATATGACCATTTTTATAAGATGAAAAAACCTTAACGAAATTATTAAACTTCTTTAAATTTTTAGAAAATTGTTATATTTATAGTTTATTATTAAATAAAATTTAATTTTTATTCATATCACCTCATGATGTGTTTCGGACAAAAAAATGAGATATGACCATTTTTTAAAAACCTTAACGAAATTATTAAACTTCTTTAAATTTTTAGAAAACTGTTTTTTTATAGTTTATTATTAAATAAAATTTAATTTTTATTTATATCACCTCATGATGTGTTTCGGACAAAAAAAAAATGAGATATGACCATTTTTTAAAATAGCACGGCCTACTGAGCAAAAAACGTAATTTTTATAATTACAGGCTTAATTTTGACTTAAATTTTAAAATTAAAAAAAAAATAACTTTATTATTAAATAAAATTTAATTTTAATTCATATCACCTCATGATGGGTTTCGGACAAAAAAATGAGATATGACCATTTTTTATAAGATGAAAAAACCTTAACGAAATTATTAAACTTCTTTAAATTTTTAGAAAATTGTTATTTTTATAGTTTATTATTAAATAGAATTTAATTTTTATTCATATCACCTCATGATGTGTTTCGGACAAAAAAAATGAGATATGACCATTTTTTAAAAAACCTTAACGTAATTATTAAACTTCTTTAAATTTTTAGAAAACTGATTTTTTATAGTTTATTATTAAATAAAATTTAATTTTTATTCATATCACCTCATGATGTGTTTCGGACAAAAAAAATGAGATATGACCATTTTTTAAAAACCTTAACGAAATTATTTAAATTTTTAGAAAACTGATTTTTTTATAGTTTATTATTAAATAAGATTTAATTTTTATTCATATCACCTCATGAGCAAAAAACGTAATTTTTATAATTACAGGCTTAATTTTGACTTAAATATTACAAGTTTTACACCCTTTTAAAGCGCTCTAAATATTATTAAAACCTTTAAAATTAAAAAAACTTTTAAATTAAAAAAAAATAACTTGCCTTCAAACATGTGTAAAATGAAAAATCCTCTAAAATAAATACAAACAAGACATACTTAAAACAAAAAACAATAGAGATACCGTGAAAAATGCGAATTCCATGGATATCTTTGATAACAAACAATTAAAATCGATTTTAGGCCTATTATAAGTTAAAAAAGTTTCAACACGTCACAAATTTTTACTCTATCATATATGCATATAACCTCGAACAATTTTTTTCTCAAATTAAGTTAACATAATTAATAAATAAATTTTATAATAATAAAAAGTATTCTTTCATTATAGAAATTGTATTGAGTATATTTATTCAGCCGTGCCCGTTCATAATTAATCAAACCAATTAATTAATGTAATTTTATATTAAACTTAATTTATTTTAACATGATTGTATCGAAAATGGAATAATATAGACATAAAAAATTTATTTTGGTTAGGCAGTCGATAATTTTAACTTTGTTATATTTTAGTTTAACAAAATACAAAATTTTCTTTTATTGGACACCAAACTCGATATATTTATTTTTTAAAACAAACAAGTTATACTGAAAAAACTAAACTTCCATAGCCAATTTAAACAAATTTAACTTTTCACCATATCTCCCTATTTTATCGACCGATTTTCAAAAGTGGGGTGTCATTTTAAAGTGTTTTCAACACTTTTCAATAAATTTACCTGCGGATAGTCAAAAGGCATGGAATACGGGGTAAATTGAAACGGATACACATTAGTTGTACTAGGTCCAGGGTCAAAACCAGGGTATGGTAGTGATAAATTGGCACTGGTATAAATAGAAGGGTTACTTGTCGGCCATGATGGATGTGTGGTTATACTGGTGGTCGGTTCACTACTATACGGAGTGTTAAACATTTTATTGCCATTTATTTGTAATTCCTTTACAGGAAACGTTCGTGGATATTGTAGGTATTAGGTCGCAATTATGTTGTAGAACAAACATATTATTGGAAAAAATGGCATGTTAAAAAAACGTAATAACACATTTTAATGCACTGGGCTTAATGTTATACCATTAACTACATCATTGTTCACTGAATACTACTGTTCACAAAAACTAAAAATTCTGATTTCACTTTCGCAGTTTTAAAAGTAGTTGGTAGACTAACCAATTAAAATAAATATCTTGGATATTTATAATAATTAATACAATTTAGCTTTGGGTTTTGTTTGTTTTATATCATATACGCAAAATTCGACGCTATTTACTAATATTATTAGATAAATCGAAGTTGCCTGCGATTACATTAACCTATGCGAAATAATCAATGTTTTATAAGCATTAAATGCATAGAGAAATGCATTGGCCAGCTTTAAATAGGTCATAATAATATTAATTGATAACAACAACTCTTTCTTATTTTGTTCGAGATTTTGTGACGTTGTTAATAATTCTTACGTGGTCAATTTACTTGTACCTTACAAAGTTAAGGCATCATCGCTGATATCATGCAAATTTCGACAGTAAAACACGTTTCTTACACTTGATTCGTCTATAAATAATTTTATGCAAAAAAAATTAATTTTATTAAGTAGAAAATTAAAAATCCTAATATTTGATACCCAACAAGGATTACTTTGATGAGATAATAAGAGTTAGGCAAAAATAAGATTGTCGTGGATTGCTAGATTAATTTTTCTTTTATTCTTTCTGGAGATATTTTTATAGTAAATTAGGCCCTACAAAGGTCATTTTGAAGAGAATTTAATTATCTCCATGATGAAAAAATCGAGATATACATTAG